AAAAATACTATAAGTAATACTATAACTTGCTATAAGTAAGTAAATCAGTTGCCAAGCAGTTTTCTATAAGTAAGTAAATATGTCTCAAAAAAAGTAATAATTTCTCTGTATCAACAGGAAACAGGCAGTGCTCTGCTCCCTCTTGATTGTTTCTTTCACTTTCCATGATTTCCGAGAAATGGCAGCTGTTAGACTCGGGGTGGTATAAGAAGCAGCGAGAGCTCAGCCCGGTGAGGATATGTACTCAAGGCGGACACAGCACAAGGTAGGGGCTAGCACAGAGGCCTGCGCCAGGGTTTTGCTCGGGTTTTTGCAGACTTTAAACCCAAGGGAAGCGGGAGGCTTTGGGGGGAGGTTACTGTGTGTGCTTTTCCCTGCAGCGTCCCCGGGGAGCCTTATCTCTCTACTGGGATTTTACCCACTCTTACCCACCCGGCTGGGCACTGGGGCTCGCCATGCAGAACTGTCCCTGACCTGTCACCTCCAGGCTCTGGTCTGCAGGCTGCCTGGGCACCCTGTGGAAATGAGGGAGCCTCCCTGTCTGGGTGAGGGTAAGGGGACACATCCCTGCCTCAGTTTCCCCCATCCCAATTCATGACCAGACCAGAATAGTGCACCCAGTCTCTCCATGCACCTGAAGTAGAGGCAGGACAGGGCTGTTCAAAATGTGCTGCTCTCACCCCTTCTTGCATTGCTGAAAAAATAATTGGTGGGAAAGAAGAAAAAATAATTGCCTTTTGAATTGCTTTCTAATTTTACTGTTTTTGAGTAAAAAACATAACTGCAAACATGGGAAAGAGATTGAGCAGGTTTTAAGCTTTTAGAGACCAAGCTGCAGAGAGAGAGGTGAGCAATGCACAGTGTGGCTAAGAGCAGTATCAGGGAGGAGGAAAGGGAGGACGCCAGAGAAAGGGTGAAGAGAGAGTCTGGAACAGAAACTTCAGCACTTTTTCCTTCGCTTTCACAAAGCAGAACTGGTCTGAGCTGAACTGCATTCATCTATAAAGTCCCAGTCCATACAAATTCCCACAAAACACACCCATGTCCAGCAGAGCATGTAAAAAGCACCTGATTTTTCCATGCTCCTGAGCATTCTCAGAGGTGCTGGCAAACCCATCCAGGGCTTGAAGAGGGGTTTGAAACCAGTGAGGCTGTAACCACTAAATGAGGTTCTCATTGCATGGGCCGGGGCAGGGGGGGTAAAATTACAAGACCTAGGCTTCTCAGGCTGATCTTTGTGATCTTTTAACCTTTCTTTTAGACCTTTAGCTTTGAAGGTGCAAGTTTGTTTGCTGAATTTTTCTCCTTGGCTGTCCAGGTTTGAGCTGCTGCAATGGAGAGTGCGGAGAGCAACAGAGAGGGTGAAAGCAGAGAGAAGCTTCATCCTGTGCCTTCATCTGTCCAGGAAGGCAGCAGTACTCTGCTACGTGACAAAGGAGGTAACAGGAAATGTGGGTGGAGGCGGTGTAAACAGCCACCAACTTGTTTCCAGCGACTCTAAGAACTTCTTGCTTTATACAGTAAGGGAAGACCTGGTAAAACTAACTATAAAAGGGTACTTGCCTATTGAAAACTTCCAACTCCTGTAATGAAGGTTAAATTTTTATCCTGTGTTTAAAATAACTGAATGTTATTTATAAGGAAGTGTACATAAATGTATATAAAGCTGATCTCCCACCAGTGCTGCCAGAAAAAAAAAAAAAAAAAAAAAAAAAAAAAAAATTATGGCAAACTCTGTCCAGTCTCCCTAGGCTCAAAAACAAGCTCTCTGTAAGAAGCAGCATGTCACACCTGTGTGACAGACACTCTCTTATCTCCTACACCAGGGATTTAATCAGGGAGTCTGCAGACCTAGAAGAAGAAGGTGTCACAACTTGCACTAAAGGCCCTGTAATAAACTTTGTCCCCAGTGGGGGCACACACCCTGCCTTTCTATTTGTATGCCAGTCCCAAACTATGGGGAGGAGCAGTGCTGATGTGCAGGTTTTTATGGTGCTGTTAGCAGGCTGGATGGCTGGCTGACCATCACGTTGCAGGCACAGTCTGCTCTTACCACACAATTTTGACACAGGCAAGTTTGTTCCTGGGTGGTTTTCCTTGGAAGGTGCAGAATGTGACAGAATTTCATCGGGTGGAATCAGAGCTACCTGGCTTCATAAAAGTTTGTGCAAGCCCTGGCCTTTCTTTTTTATCCAATTCAATAACATTTTCTTTTGCTGCACTACTGTTAACTTGTCGCTACTAAATCTAGATAACTGACTTGGATTAGATATGGCAGCTTTTAGCTGGCTCAGATGGGGAATTCACCCAAGGCTTCCTGTGTGCCTCTCTGCTGACCAACTGGTGGCTTTGAATCACAGAGGGAAGGGCGAGTGCCAGAGATGGCATCCAATGTGTTAACTATTGTCCTTAGGCCCATTGCCTGCCCTCACCCTTGCCCCCAACAGCACAGACTGTTCCATGTCCCTATCCCCAGGAAAGCTGTACCAAGCACTGGTGGAGCTTGGCAAAATAGGTGGGAGATTACACGAGCTGGGATTTTTGGTTCAGAGGCCCAGAGGACCATACCCAAGCTGTGAGGAGCTTCAAGATCTTCTTTCCCATTCCTAGTATGCGACTGTCTTCTAGTTTTTCTTGACTTGGTGTGTCTTCTGCTCACGTTAACCCAAGCATTCTCCTCACTTGCAGATGATCATGAAAGCAAAGAAAACCTAGGACCTGATAGCAGGTTGGTTGATGCAGAGACCTATGCTGTGGGATTTCCCATCAGACCTCAAGGAGCTTGAGGTCTGGGAGGTTGCTGGGAAAAGAGCTGTCTTTGGGAGGAGGTATAGCTTTAGTACTGTAAGGCTACTTGACCCTTAAACTCCTTCCTCTGCCAGCAGATAAAGATGGAAACTGGTAGAGACCCTCCAGGACAGGAGTTGGTCTCTTTGCAATGCCACTTGGTCTACAGCATGCTATCTTTATCTGAGTTATTCACACAGTGGCTTGATACTTGCATGTAGGCAGCTGGGACCACTGCAAATGCTTTATGGTAATCAGGATATTTGTACAGGACTGGAAGAAATGATGCAGAAGATACTCTTCTTACAGGAGCTTCAGACAAAGGCTGGAAGAAATGCATGTGAGTATCTCAATGCTGCCCTGAAGTCCTTAGGTGGATCAGGTGAAGACGATGACAGAGTGGTGGGAGGGAACTTGATGTTGACCTTAGAGTATTTCATTCCCTTCCAATAGCTGTCTGCAGAATCCATATCTGTCCAATGAAAGACTTCGAACAGAAGAAACAATGACCCTGGAGTTTGTTGCAGCAATGTCGAAAAAATCCAAGTTTCCTGAATTGCCATCCAAGATCTGCGTTGTTTTTTACAAACAACCTGGACAATACCAGGAATTTGCTGTTCTGAAACAAAGGTAAAAGTCATCCCTAAATGTATGCTGATGTCACATTTTTGGAAAGCATATAGGTCACCCCAACTTTAGGGTCCCAGCCTGGACTTCAGCTCCAGACAAAGACACCTAAATTTAGGTATCCGTAGAAGTGACTTACAGCGTTAACTTCTGTAGGTCCTGCATCAGCTCTGCCAGATCTCCACAAAGGTCTAAAACATTATGGAGCTTGTCAGATGTCACTGGATGCCTTGCATGAGATAAGATGGAGTGAATAGAGTCACTTCAGTTCTGCTACAGTTGCAGCATTCAGCAGAAATATCTCTAGATGTGTTTCCCATTCTTTTTACAAGGCAGCTGCAACTTTGGCTAAGACCAGGGTTGTTCACATCAAGACTTCTCACCAGTTATTTTTATAAACTACCAAGCTCAGGTCAGATTATCAAGTTTTTGTTAAAGGCCAGAGGCATTTTGGTTTTTTGCATTTTGAATGTGAATGTTGATTGCTCATTCTTGCTGCACAAACTGATCTGTAGAGGCAAAGTCCATCTGGGGTTGAACTTGATGGAAGCTCCTTACAGTGTAGTAACTAATTAATCTTTATTCTATTCTAGAAAAAAACTGATCATGGGTTGTGCAACAATCCCCATTTCTGACCTCCAGAGAGGACCAATTTTTTATAAATATGCTATCCTTAATGTCTCAACTGACTGTGAAGTGAGATTAATTGATTTAGAGCATATTTATGAAATGGATTCCAAGAATATAGAGAGTCAATTACATCGAGTCATAAACATTCCCAAGGAAGAGATCAAAGCGAATGGTAAGTGCTGTACTTTCTTCAAAGCTAGGACTGGGGTGAAGTATGACCAACAAATCCTTGCATGCAGTAGACATATGAACTCTCCCTTGTTTTGCTTTGCATTGCAGCAGCACCTGCTTCCTACAACTGAAGCATTTCTACTGTGGGGATTTTTGACACATAAGCTCATGGGCTATTTATTTAACACAAATAAATTCTTTATATAATACAAACACAAAGTATTCTGGAAGGAGTGTTTAGGTTATTTTGCTTTTTCACAGAATAAACTTAGGCTTTTCATTGTTGGGCAAAGGAGAGTGTGTAATGAAGCCTTGAATCACCTTTGCATCTACCTTTAAGAATGGCTTTCAGTTGCCATTCCAGAAGGGTGCACATGAGCTGGAGGTCCAGTGTCAGATCTGCCACACTGTATAGATGTTTTGAATATGCCAGGATGACTCAAAAAGTAGTAGACACCTACTGTTGGAAGTATTGGGTTGTACACACCAGGCACATCTAAAGTGAAGGTGAGATATGTAGGGCTGAATCTATATATGCATGGTGAGTTTTGTGCGTTAGTACCTCATTAATGGCTCAGCTGGGCTTGCCATTCCTAAAAAGTAATTGGTATCATTAGCTCAGGGACAGTTGAAGATTTATCTTTTATAGGTTTGAAGGTTCATTCACAAACCTTGATTCCTTCTCAGGTACATGGACCATTTTTGAAAACATGAAGTGCTATTTTCATGAAAAAAAAAAAAATTGCTTCAAAATGACTTCCTTCAAATTCTCTTCTTCAACAACAATGCCCCAAAAGTCAGTCAACTGTGGTATTATAGAACACCTTGTAGATGAATTTACCCAGCCCATCAAGCTCCAGAACAATTTTAAAAATATAGAAAGAAAACTGAGGAACTATACAGAGAGCTTCAAAATCTATCTTGGAGATGCTGAAAAAGGCGAAACCTATTCTCCGACTAATCTTTCTAAGCAAGTGGTAAGTACACACCAAGTCAAAGTAGCAAGCAGCTCCCAGGTAGATAGACCCCCAAAGAGAAATTTCTGCAGCTACCTCTAATTCCACATAGGGTTCAGAACATCAAATGGATGGACATTATTTTTAGTGTTTTTTCCAGTTTTTGGGTTGGACCCAAAAACTGATGAGGTCAAAGGAGATCTCTATTGGAATCAGATTCAAATGGTGTCATCTGTAGAACTAGCTTTGAGGCTGGGTCATGGAAAGACTACCCTGATTTTGAGAATCCTGCATGGAAAAAAAAAAGAATTTCACATGCCGTTATGTTCAGGCTTCAACGTCTCATTTTAAAGTCTAAAACCACCCAGAAAGGGACTGGACATCTGCCTGCCAATGAGAAGTAGTGTGTGAATTCTTTTTGCTTTGTTTATATGCACAGCTTTTGCTTTTGATGTTTAGCTGTCATTATCTCAGTTCATGAGTCTTCTCACTCGCCTTCTGTTTTCATTCTGGCCCACTGGAGAAGAGATTAAGTGAGAAGCCTGGTGGGTGTTCAGCTGTTGGCCAGGCTCAACCTACTAGTGCTGTTTAATGGAAGCCCTTTCTGACCTGACGTGTCACATCCACCTGGCATGGTCTGGGGCTTGACTTGGAGGGAGTCAGCAGGGTATATCCAGAAGAGGAGTGGGTTCCCAGGTTACAGACTGCTAGGTGAGGATGTTGTCTTATGTTGTGGATGTATCCTGAAAGGTCACACAGACTGGAAAGCCTGAAATACACCCAGGCTACACAAGGTGCAGAGCAATGCCTTGCAAGTCATCTGTAGGGAAATCCCAATGAAAGGAGTACAGTGAGATTCTGCATCTCTGTTTAGGTGAAAGTTGTTTATGTGCCCTTTGGGTTTCACAGTCATGGAGTCAGACTCCTATACTAATCTAGGCCTCTGAGAGAATCCCCACTATTCCTTTTGATTCCCTTTGATTTCCCAGCTCAGCTGGGGGACAGAAGATCAGTTTATCTATACTTATCTATCTGTGGTAGGGCTAGAAGGGGTGGCTAGTACTCTCCTGATGCTGCTGTGGATTCAGCACATAAGAACTGCTTGGTAAACTTGTTACAACCAGGAAAACATTTTCCCTGGGGCATTGCCAGGGCAGTGAGATGCAATGGAAGCTAAGAAATTTGTTAGCTATTGCAAAGACAGGAACCTGTCTTTAAGTACTTTAACTGCAAGGCTTTTGCCTCCAAATAATGATTCTTAGCAACTTTTATCTTCCACCCTCCTTTTTGAACCGTTCCCAGCTCCTCAAGTAAAATAGTCTTGCCTGTCTTGGTGAAACCCCCTTTCCTTATTCTCATTGTCCAGTTGCATGATAACATGACAAATTTTATTGACAAGATCATTGGATACCTGGAGAGAGAGGAGCATAAAGATGATGGGCTGCTTTTTGCATTACTCACCTCATCTTGTTATGACATCTCACTAAGCAAAGAGGTAATCGTCAAGGCTGAAAAAATGTTCCAGGACATCGGTCCATTTCAAGGCAAATTCAAGTATCTGAGAGAAAAGAGGTAATTGAAAGTGTCATCCTACTTTCTTGAGTTCTAGATCCTTCTGCAGTCATTCAGTTCATTGGGCCTTTTTCTATATGGAGCAATTATGTGAAGATAGAGCTAGAATGTTGTCCCCCAACACTCTTTCCTCTTCACTTCAACAATTCCTAGCTGTATTTCTGCTGCTAGCTGCCATAACCTGTGCAGTTTGTCCCCTCTGCCAGGTCTCTGATTGAAGGAGAGCCACAGGTTCTATTTTTGGCAGGGATTGGTTTGAGTTTCAGACCGTTACAGTTATGCACATCTGTAGGTGTCTGGGCTTCTCTTGTAATTTTTGGAGATCCAAGACTCAGATAGGCATCAGTGTCATTTTAGATGCCATGTGCTATCTCACCAAGCATCCTGCTGACAATTTGAAAGGATTAATATTTTCCAGAAGTTCTGGTTCATATCTGAAAACCCTGCAGATCTGTCTTGGATGTTCCAGACATCTCAAAGAGAATTAGACATTTTTGCATAGACAGCTGAATTAAGCCTTATGAAAATGAATTTATTATCCCACAGAGTCAGATTAGTGTATTCTGTCATGCTGTTTCGATATAACCTATAGCATTTGAGGCTTTTCTGTTTTGATTTTCCTTTGCTACATAAAGCTTATGGAGGGAGACTGTTTTGGGAAAGCTGAGGTGGGATTCATTTCTTCTACATGAATGCCTGCTGATAAGGTCTCTAGAACCAAGCTCTCACTCTCTCTTGCATACCTTCATGCATCTACATGTTGGCAAGATGAATGCCATTGGGTTAAGGGGTAACCACACAACTCCCTGCCGCTGCCATCCTAGGCAGTGGTTATGGGAGATCTGACCACTGATGGAAGTTTTTTGTGATTTTCTTTCTTTTCAGCAATTACATTTCAACTGTGAAGAAAATTTTCTTATGTAATAAAGGCAGCACCTTGTGTATTTGGCTGATTCCATTGCTGTATGCAATCACAGAGAATACGAAGGACCCCTTTTTTCCAGAAACCATTCCCTCACAACACTTGTCGTCACTGAGAGATGATGAAGAGAAGCAGAGGTAGGTTTGAAAGGGAGAGCATCAAGGCTGGATCAGGGAAATAAGCTGTTGTACTGTTAGAATAATTTTTCATTCCTTTTGCTTGTGGACTTCCAACCACCAGAAACTTTGTGTTTCTTCCCTGGGCTGCAAGTCATTCACTTTCTCATATGTCCTACTCCTGCCCTGAGCTCTAACTAGGAGAAGGGTGTTTGAAGGTGAGTTGGAGGAAGGTGAAGTCTGAGCTGAGGACTGTGCAGTCTTATTCAGACAGCCTGTCGGAAGCGTCCTTATGGAGAGAACTATCCCTAGATCCTGAGTTGGTCATTTTTTCACATAGAAAAGGTGGAATCACTCCAAAATAACCCATTTGCAGGCAAACTGAACAGGGAGCAAAGGCATGGTTTTTGTGCTCACATAAGACAGTGACCCCTGGACAGAAAGTCTCAAACACAGAATTTCTTATTTAAAAACAAAACAAACAAACAAACAAAAAAATCTTACTGTGTGAATTCACTTGCTTTAAAATCCTAGATATCCCATTCAGAATCTGACCACCTCTTCTTTAAGTCCAGTGCCACATTTGCCAGCCACAGGAGCACATAAGATGGCACAAAGTGCCTCCTGATGCTCCAAAGTGCATCTGCTGTTGATGGTCCATTTTCATAGGAAAGTTCTGGTGATGATAGAGATTCAGAAGTCATTCATTGAAAGCTGCTCTCCACTGGCAAAGACGGTCTTGGAGATGTTGGCACTGAAGAATTTCACCAAGAAGCCCCTGCTCCAAATCAAGTTTCCACCTCATCTCCTCCTGGATACAGTATATCAACGCATCGTTGAAGCTGTCAGTAAACCATCCCAAGTGCATGTAAGATCAACTTCTTTTTAGTGTTTCTTTCCTAGGTTACGGAAAGTTGTACTATTTTGTACAGGTGAGCCAGAAAGTCTCCCTGTCTCTTGAAAAAAATTTTAGCAAATCCAAGGGGTTAAATCATAGGAACCCAGAATAAGAGCTCAATAACCATGTTTTGGGAGAAGCTGCAAAGAGAAAGGGTAAGGGGATCTCATTGGGTTTTGGCCTGGTTGAAAAATGGCTAGCAAATCCTGTATCAAGTGAATTTTAATCGGAATCTTTAAACTATTTTTACATCCTGTCTCCAAAAGCAGTATCCAACATGAACACTGTGATGATCCAGCAATTGGAACTTTGTTTAAAGATGGAAAGGCTGAAAGAAGGAAGTTAAAGTTCTAACTTGCGTTTTTGCGGCAGTGACTATTTTTAAATGAAAACTGGACTTGTTTGTGGGAACCTACTTTCTGTCATTCTCACTTGTGTTTTAACTAGAGTGTTGTAATATGCTCTGAGACCCTGAAAAGGAATTCCGCTTAAAATCTACTTCTTGGTGCTTATTATAGGGTTTATCCCCAACACACTCTGGTTTATATTTGAAAAAATCTGAGCTAAGCCCTCCCACACAATCCACTGAACTCCAAAGATCTTTGAGAGAGCTATAGCTTCTGTGGGATTTGAAGTGATTGCTTTAATAGGAGCTAGATTTGCCTTTCCATCTGGAAGCACTAGGGATTTTTAAAAATCAGACATTGTCAGAAAAAAATTCTCTGAAGGTTTCATACTTACCATTTTTCATAGGGGACTGCCTCAGCTCTAGGAATGGATGTGTTTTCATAGTTGTTTTCAGTGTATGTTTTTACCCTCTATTCAGGAAAAGAATTTGAATGGAGTTCTGAACAACATTGCTGAAAGGATGAAATTCTGGTTCAAGGACTTGTAAGTGCTAACCTGTTGAGAGGAGAAATACTAGGACAGTTCCGTGGAGGAGGTGGGAAGGAATGGCTAGACTTATGGTTGAGCAGAACAAGGGAGGCTGTAAAAATTTTCTTTATTAGTTGTATGTCATAATCTTTTAAACCCCTTTGGGGCTGAGCAGTATCATGTGGGAAGGAGGTCCACAGGGGAATCTGTCCTGCCAGAGAGTCTACCTCTGTCTCGTGTTGTGGGATTCAGCTCCAAATTCATGCATAGCATGGTACAGCAAATGAAGGGCACTTAAACTCAAGATTGTGTTGACTTTTTTTTAATGCTATTGTTAGAATGAACACAAGAGGTGTACAGTGCTTTTCTGTGTCCACAGATGCCTGCCAGGGGGTACGGAGCAGCTGACAAAGCCCACCAGTAATAAGGAAGATGCCTTACAGTGTCTGGATTTAACATATGCGTTGCTTTTATTTTGCTTAAAACACTGGCATGCAGTGCCATTTAGCCTGATCATGTCACTGCTACAGATGCTTGACATGTTTGCTGAAAAATCAAATGTGTTGCGAGCAAATCAGGTAAAAAACCACCCATAGCTTTCATGAAGACACATACCTATGTCTTTTTAGCTGAGAAGGGACAGGAGTTCAGGTCTGCTTTATTCAAACACGGCCAACTATAGGAGTGTCAGTTAGCTACCTTTCTCAGTTACTTATTCCAACCTTGTCAGAATTTGTGCTGGGGCGGATGAGGAGGGTTTGCATGGACAGAGAGGTCCAGCTACAAGGCTGGTACCATCAGAGTGTGCCAGCCATTTCTCTTCTTGGAAGCCATTGATAGTTATGGGAAAGACTTCATTTTCACTCTGTACACAGCAGTTAAGGATCAAAAGCCAGAGTGAAAATCTGTCTCTCCTTGCCAATTCTTCCTTTTTTTTTTTTTATTTCCCAAGGAATTTCAGCAGTTTATCTCAGACAGGTTCGATGAGTTTGAAGGTCACATCAAGGAGTGGCTGGAAAAATCCTTTCTCAGGCCACCCATGGAAAATAGACAGTTCCTGGAAAACATCAATGTAAGTAGCAAGAATCCACATAAGGGAAAACCACCCACCTTGGGAGGTTTATATATATATGTCTATACTTTGAGGCCCAGTTGACCAGCTTTACTTTTCTGCCACAGCTGTGGAACGAGCTGTTCTTGCTTAAGATCCTCTGTGTGGAATGGGCCGAGAAATGGCAAAGCCTGATATACAGCATGGTTGAAAGGTGGCTGGAGAAAGTAAGTTATGGTTAACTCCAAGCAAGGGGTTGATGCTCAGATTCCTGATCCCAGGATGCTTTGTTTTGTCCCAGTCAGTGTTTGGATGATGGGAGCTGAAGCAGCCATCTCCTTGCTGGTGTAGAGGGACATAGCTCCTCCCCCACTCTGAGAACCCAATGATACTTGACAAGGTCTCAGAAAACAACTGTAGCTTAAGCATTTCCTTCCTGCAGGTAGATGGCAGAAAACTTCTGGACTTTTATTTGGAATTCATGAAAAAGGACAAGTGCTGGAATAAAAATCTGGAGACCTGCTTTACAGATTGTGTCATTCAAAGGATTAAATACTTTGAGAAAAGTGAGGTGAGGAAAGAATTTCTGTCTAAATGTCACCATTTCTTCTGCACAGCTGGGTGTTTCTACCTCCTGCCACACTATGTTGACCGACTCTGCTAGCTGTGCTTATTTGGCCTGTGGTGGGTTAATTGAGTGGCAGAGGTTCTGCAAAGCTTGTTTACAACTAAGAGGAGAAATTTCTTGCCCTTACAGGAGCCTATGTTAGGAAAAATGGTTTCCAAAGTCCTCAAGACAGAAAGGTCAACTGGTGGGAAAGTGCTTTCTGCTGTTGTTGAAAAAATATTCTCAGACAAGATGAGCACATTGGAAAAAGTAAACAGATTTGTCGACACCACGGGCCCAGTTCTCGAAGAGGTGCTCAGCTCTTCTGTGATCTGTGATCTCCTCTTCACTTGTGAGTTTCCCACAGAGGGGCTTTTTAAAAATTTTTGTTTTCAAAGTGAGTTTTGATGGGCTCTGAAAGCCAACCTACATCTGATGCACGTATCACTAAAATCCCAAATCAAACAAAAGTTTCACCATGTATCTGGGAGAAGTTTACAATCAAATCCTTTCTTTTGCTAGAAGGGAATATGAGGTTTCACCACCTTTGTTCAAAGATCTGCCAAGTTTGTTGCCAACACAAAATGGAAGAGACAAAATATTCACATACCCTGGGAAAACGATGTTTCATTTCAGAAGTTAAGAAGCATCTCAATGTATTTTTCCAGTTGAAATGGCCTTTTGTTGCACATTCCTGAAAGGTATTTCATTTTTAAAATGAAGGATATTAAGAAAAATTGCTCTCAGAAAAAGAAAAAAAACAAAACAAACCAAAAGAGAAATGCTAATTGTGAAGCACCCCAGAGGTTTGTCTCCTGTGTGAAGGAGGTTTATAACCAAAGCTAGGCCAGGGTCCTTGATACTTTTTTTTTTTCATGTACCTGAAACAACTGAAAACTGCTATTTTACATTGACTGGGAACAAAGCAACATTTTTCCCATATACTGGTGTTGGCCATTTAATGGGAAAACAACCAAATCTGTGCAGTTCATAAAGGTGGCTGTAACAGATCCCCTTGCTACTCATGGCTTGGAGGCAGAGTGCTGTGAGTCTGCTAACTCTTCCTGAGGATGTATGTTAAAATGAAATCCAGTGGGAAAACTGCTTCTTTTGAAAGTACGGCTCTATCACTTGTTTTCATCTATTTTACAGATAATTCAGAGTACAAGATTCAAAATAAGATCAGTAAAAAGGCAAAAACCCTGCTTTTTCAGTTTTTCAAATTCTTCAGCTTTTTGAAGCTTCGAGTTTTCTCAGGAGAAATCCCATGCAACATACTGTCCATTATCTTGCAGCATCAAGAGCTATTTCAGGATATATTGTGCAACTGTGGTAAGCTTATAGTTTCTGAATTTATTTCCCAAAACCTGTGGTGTGTTTTCCTATGCAGTGGGGCAAAGAGAAAATATATCTATTGGAAAAACATCTAAAATACAAATAAAGCAAAAACTTCTCTGCAAGTGACCAAACACAAGGCAAAAAAATATAAAAGTTTATTACAGGCAGTATTTTTAAGCCCTTAACACTATGAAGGACAGAAAACAATACTCTTCTTCTGTACAATGGATAACAAAGTATTGCAGTATGCTTAAGATTTTTTTATAGAATTGTATTTGTGTTGATAGATTCATAGAATAGTTTGGGTTGGAAGTGACTTTTAAAGGTCATCTAGTCCAAGCCCCCTGCCATGGGGGAGACTGTTCATGTACCTGAACAGAAAGAATATGACAAAGCCCTAGAAGTGTTTATCAGATTTGAAAGATTGTATAACAGCAAGAGGTGGTGAATAGTGGGTAGCATTTGTACATGCCCTGTGAATCATAAGCTCCTTCAAAATAGGGTTTAACACTGGAACGTTATCCCAAAAGTACCTTCTGCTTGTCTTCAGAAACAGGGAAGGGATTTTCTTGAAACAGACAGCTACAGACCCTGCTGTTTCACCAAAGAAATGACAGAGGAAAAAAGGAAAGAGGCACAATTACTGTAAGCCATTGTGAAAATCAGTAGAAAAAGCATATAGTATCATAGAATAATTGGGGTTGGAGAAGTCATCTAGGCCAACCTCCTGGCAATGAGTAGGAACATCTTCAACTAAATCAGGTTGTTCAGAGCCCCGTACAGCCTGACCTTGAATCTTTTCAGAGATGAAGCAACTACAAACTCTCTGGGCAACCTGTTCCAGTGTTTCACAACCATCATTGTAAATAATTTCTTCCTCATATCTATTCTAAACCTACCCTCTTTTGGATTAAAAACATTACCCTTTGTCCTACAGCAACAGGCCCTACTAAAAAGTTCCTCCCCATCTTTCTTATAAGCCCCGTTTAAGTACTAGAAGGCTGCAATAAGATCTCCCTGGAGCTTTCTCTTCTCCAGGATGAACAACCCCACTTTTTCAGCCTTTCTTCATAGGTGAGGTGTTCCATCCCCCTGATCATTTTTGTGGCCCTCTTCTGGACCCAGTCCAATGGGTCCATGTCTTTCCTGTGCTGAGGACTGCAAAACTGAACACAGTACTCCAGGTGGGGTTTCAGGAGAGTGGATTAGAGGGGAAAGAATCACCTCCCTTGACTGCTGGCCACACTTCTTCTGATGCAGCCCATTGCTGGCTCATGTCCAGTTTTTGTCCACAAGTACCCCCCAAGGCCTTTGTGCAAATTCAAGCATGTATTTGTTAGTGGTAGTGGTTAGTTTCCAGTAGTTCTTTCTCTCTAAGTGATTTTCTCAAAAATCCTTTACATCTGAGGTCTGGGCATGTTTGGTATTCTTTGTTTCTTTCTCCAGATCCCACTGTCTCCAGCTGTATAGCAACAGTGTTGGAAACCAGAATGGAGGAATATATCCAATTTGAAGAGCAGAAGAAGCAGAGATGCTCATTTTTGAGTCTATGCAGCAGCATAGAGGATGTGATAAGAGGTACCATCCCATTATATTTGAGAGGATGGGATTGCCTATATGGCTCTTGAATGGGGACCTGTCTCCTAAAACAAAGAGCTAGTAGCAAATCCTCCAGGAAATGCTGCTGCGTGACTATAGTGGCAAGCAGTAGCTGGAGAGAATAAGCAGGGAGCTCTTTAAGGAAAAAAGGAATGGGGCAGGTCTGGTAGGAGTTTATGTATGGAAGGAGTTCACAATAGTGAGAAAATCTGTATCATGGGGGAAGATTAAACAGTGCCAGGTATTATATTTTTCCAAGAGATATAAAAGGTTGGATTACCTACCTTGACAAATGTTTGTAGGGGGAGAGGGCAATTTCATACAAGATCTGGGACCTGAAAAGAGAAGGACAGAGCTATCAAAAGGTAGCAGAAATGTATATTGGTTGGGAAGACTCACCCAGTGAGTTCTTCCTGCTGGACAGTGGAACATACACATCCCAGTGTTGAAGTTCTCAGATTGGGTGCAAGAATCAATAGAAGTTATTCTCCAGCTGGGGTGGGCCAAATGATGAGGTAAATCTGCTCAACCTCTACTTCAGGACCGAGTTTTTTTTCACACAATACAGACACTACCACAGTTTCAAGGCCATGGTTTGAAGGCTTACTTCCTCATCATGGAGCAATTGATTTTGCCCACCATTTATTTTGGTGTTGATCTTGGATTGTTTTTCCCCAAGAACTTTGGGGAAACAAACACACACACACAAACACAGCCCTGTCTCACTTTGGTGTTGTAGTCAGGTTCAGAATATTTCCATGCTTAGAGGATGAGTGTCTTTCCAGCTGGAGAAATGCACTAATTTTTTTGTTTCCACCTTATTTAGTGGATATGAGTGCTGTGAAGAAAAGCATCGGAGAAAAAGGAATTTTTAAGGATCAGATGTCTGTAAGCAAATTTTCGGTGAATGGTGAGAAGGAAATTCCTGAATTGCACTTCCTTGCTAAATACAGTGTCATGATGAAAAAAATTCATACCTTAGAGGAAAGTAATTATTTTTTGAAACTGTGCAAGCAAAAAGCAAAGCAAATTAAAGCCACAATCCCTGAAAAGAAATTTCTCTTGATAAAAGATGTTCAAGAAAACATTTATAAGCCAGCCATTGCTGACTTTCAGAGTACCTATCTGGCCCTCAAAGACTTTTCCATCACCCTTGGGACTCTGCAGAGCTGTTTTGAGAAGCAGTTAGCAAATGAGAGTCAACTCACGAAGGAGTTTGAAATTATGGAGATGAGCGAAGGGAAAGGGAATGGAAAAGCTGCCTGGGTAGATGCTGCAGTGGAGAAGATTAAAAACTACCTGAATCTGTCTACAGTAGTGAACACTGCCAAGATGATTGATGAACTGAGGAAGAAACTTGAGCTTAATGGAAATTTTCAGATTCTCAACGACCTTACAAAATATGTACGTAGGACACACGGCTATGTGGTTTATAATGAGTGCTCTAGTGGCTCCTGTGTTGTCAGGTCTGAATGGGGAACCTCTGCATTTGTGTGTCTTAACTTTTAGCTAAATCATACTGGTTACAGTGGATGGAATATTTGTTCTGAAATATAAATTTTACTGTTGCAGCAGCTCTCTTTTAGCCTGACACCTTTATAGTAGAGTAAGTGGAGTCAGGAATGTGCTTCGGCTTACCTTAATCAGACTCCTGATTGTCTGCAAATACGCTCCCAGTGCCATTAGAGACACCCAAGGGCATCTGAGTCAACTGTGTGAGGCTGATGGATGCAGGCATCTCTGTGTGTCAGCAACCAAATTCTGCATCAATCCCAACCTAATATTCTCTACCAACTCCAGCAAGTCTTCATTTGGCTTCCACATGTTCTTTTTGTAGATCTCCATGCCTGGTTGCTCCAATCCTGTAAAAGCTAAAATGTTATACTGTTGTAACCTTTCTATTATGGTAGCAATGATGGAGCAGCTGGATGTTCTGTAACTTTTTGTACTTTGAATAGCTTTCCATGTTTTGAACAGGTTTCCCCAGATATTTAAAACTGGAGCAGACCTTGTACATTTTGTTGAAAGGTCCCTTTAGTGATTAGGACTTCAGTGCAGAAGTTTTATATCATGACTCTGCCCCTGCTGCAGGGACTTGTACTGAAATAACCAGACTGGATTTTATAAAAATCGATTAGATGAGAGGAATAGAAGTCTCTGGGGAGCTGGCGCTTTGTAAAAGACTGAGTGGCTGATGAAACTGAGTGCAGGGCAGTGGCAGAGCTTACTTTGCCTCTTTTCTTAGCAAGGGACACACATCAGTATGTCTTTGGGTTCTTATTTTTCAGGAAGGGCCAGAATTCAGGAATAAGAGACTTGATTATATGACCCAGGACATAATGAAGGTGCAGACTAGTTTGATCAACCTTCCACAAGAGATGCTTGACTTCTTGAGGGAACTTCTTGAATGCACAAGGAAAGGCTTTGTCTCCTGGATCAAAACTATAATAAAAGGTGAGTTGTACTGGGATATAATAAAGTCATCAGACAAGAGAGGCAATAGAAAGGAGTCAGTTATTCTCTACTTGTAACAGCCAGAGGCATTGTATCAATCAACTATGTGAGCTCCTCAACTATGAGTCAACTATGAAACTCCTCAACTATGTGTTTCATTTTTTGATTATTTTTTTTTTCAGACAAAAGGGAAATCCCTGTATTTGTGGAGCTGGCATCAATTTTTGCAGGTGAAAATGACATGGATATTGACAAAGTGAGGTTCTTCCGTGATGCTATGGCTGCTTCAGCACCCATTATATTTGACCTGGGACCCACATCTGATTTTGAACAGTTCTTTTCAGCCCTGTCATTCATCAGTGAAGCCACTGCAAAAGACAGTAATCTGTCCAAGAAATTGGTGAGTCTAGGAATCCCATGTTCCAAAAATTACTTGTACTTGTACTAGAATTAATTGCCAAAGTCTGGTGCCATGCCATAGGGGAGTCAAGGCATGCAAGAGGGCGTAGTCGATATGAGGTAAAACCTATGAGAAATCTGTGGTGTTTGGAATTGAAGTTCAGTTGGGACATGTTCAAAGACACCACATGCCTATGTGAAGGCAAATGGAGGAGTCCCATTAGGTGTCACATGCAGAAGAAAGTCAATTCAATGCTGTGTGGTTTAGGAAAGTCTAGATCAGAACTGTCTTGCATAATCCTCTCCAGAGAAACGATAACATCCTACACCAGGTACCATTTAACTGACACCCTTACTCCAATTTGCCAAAGACTGACAGAGAACAGCAGCTTCCCAAAATACTTATTCCCTGGCTTTGGCTTTCAGAAAGCTTATAAGATAGATGCAGATTTGGGTGCAACAGCTGTGTTTTGTCTTTTCAGCCACAGCAGGTATAAGAAACCCCACTCTTACCAAAATTGTCCCTACAGAGCTGCCAACAAGTATTAGGTTTCATTCTGTTGTGTTGTTCTTTTATCTTTAACAGAAAGATACTTGTGGTAACAGAGCGTGGATACAAATGGTTCATGAATCTCATGGCTCCATAGAGTGTTCCTCAATCTCTCAAGCCAGTGATATCAACAGCAGAGGGATGTTTGTCATCTCACCACCTCAAAATTTCAAGGTAACAGTTCTCCACAATTTGAAAAGTGCTTTCTAGGGGGTTGTTTCTGCCCAAAGAAATTAACATTCTTGAAATCCATCTTCAAGGAGTATGTCAGATAACCAGTAGATCTCTGCTCAGGTTTGAAAGCACAAACTCATGCTGTATCTTCCATTAAGCCTTAGTTATTCTCAAGGCAAAACAGGGTTTTTTTGTCCCCAGGAAGGAAAAAAAAGCAATATTTTAATACAAAAAAACCCAACTCACCTGATCACTTGGAAAGTACAAAAAGGAAAGGTAAAGTTTTAAAATGAGAACTGCGACTCCATTGTTCAAGGAGAGTGGTGCTTGCAGCATACTCTAAAAGAATGAGCCCTGCACAATAATAGAGGAGGGAAGGAATGCTCCATGACATGGGGCATGGTAAAATCTGATGCTTGACTGTGATATTGTGAGAGATGACTTGTAAAAACAGGTGGTGAGAAACACGGACTGAGAAAAACAGCCTAAGAAAGACATAAAAGTTAGCAGGGGGAGTGGAGGCCCTCTGAGCTAAGGAATGTCTCAAACACTTGCAAGTAATGAAGCTATAGTCACAGGATGGATAGTGTGGAGGTTGAAGCTGATAAGGCTGCCCAAATAACACAGGATGCAGCAGGTGGGGGGAGACCTGTGGAGACAGGATGGCTCTGCTCTGGTGCACCTGGACAAATTTCAGGGGCTCTGTCCTGTGAATGACCTTTGCTTCATTATCCACGAAGTGCATATTAAAGTTAACACCCCCAAATATGCTAATGAAAACTAGATTAAAGTTAACACCCATTAATATGCTAATGAAGACTAACAAGATCATGCTAATTACATCATACTATGAAACACCTTACCCCTCCTCGTACATGGGATACATAGGTATGTGGGTCAACCTAGGGGACGGGCCCAAGGAAAGTGGGTATAAATCAAGGGGGAGCAAAAGGGAATGGGGGGGTGAAGTGAAGCGAAGAAGACGGATGCCTCCTGGAACACTCGCTGATGGGATCAATGCAGGAACACAGACCAGTGATATGTATTCCTCTATTCCCTTCATCTCCCCCCTTTTCCTTTTTCCCCTTTTCCTTCACTACCATTAAGAAATGCAACACATACTGTATTGTCTGCCACAAATCGTTATATACTTAGCCAATTATTGTGTATCCAATTAGTACATTGTGGGAAGTTAATAAATGTTTGGAGTTTGAGACTTGTCTCACTGTTGTCAACTCCACTGGGGATTTATGAATCTGAGTCACTTGTCTCCCTCATCTGAGAGGGGTGTGACAGATATGCAGGCATGTACTACTACTGTTCTTGAAGGCCCATTGCACAAGGATGGGGAATTACACAGAGAAGAGGCAGAGAGGGGCTGATCCTTTTACCTGCTTTTCAGCCTGCCCTTGAGGATTGTGTTTCAGTGCTACTGCTGAAGGACACCACAGAGGAAGAATCTCAGACAGACCAGAAGGCTGAAGAATACAGCCTAGCTCAGCTCACAGAGCTCCAGAACAAGCTTATGTTGGTCACTACAAAAGCTGAGCAAGGGAAAGAGGAGGCAGACCGCTTCCTGCAGGTAAGACACAGTGCAACACCAATTTGTGCTTGGCAAGCAGTTTGGGGTTTTTAGCTGGAATTCTTTCATGGAGACTTATTCCTGACCTTCAACTGTGACTTCAGGAACAGAGGTAGCAGACTCCCACATCTCACATGTAAGGCAAATTATAAATACAGCCTTCCCCTTGCAAAGTAATGGAGGTCACCCCAATGTAGGCACCCCTCACAAGCCAGATGCTTCACATACCAAAAGTGCCTTTTCTCTGTTTCTATACAACTGTTTATTCAGAAGGTTTTTGAAGTGAGGTGTTCTGTTATGTACCTGAGGAACGACCTCAACTGCTTGCTGTCTGATCAACTGTAGGCAGACAAGTTCTTTAGTCGGAGATGAAGAAACCTCCAAGGGGCCAGATATCTCAAAGGTGATGATTCTGAGGGTGGGATACAGCTCATCATAATCTTTAGGGGTGAGATTTGCTTGCTATCTGGGACAATGGAGCTCTCCTTCCTCTTATGGACCTCCTTCCCTCAGTAGACATGTGCTAGTTACCATTTTGAAGAGCAGTCTTCCAAGAAAACCTGCACTTCTAGAGCATGTCCTTGGCCAAGGAACATATCCTGAGAAGAAGCTGTAGGTAAAAATTGAGTAAAATACTTATTTTTTTTTCCTGTTTGTTTAACAGGATTGAATAGATCTTTGTAAGAAAATGTAATGTGAGAAGTATTCAGTAGTTGTTGAACAGTAATCCATTTCCCTGTTTTGTCTGTGGCATGTTACAGATCCTGGAAAAGGTTGAAATGGTTGGAAAGTTGTACCTGCAGCTTCTCAGAGTTGGCAATATCCTCTTCATAAACTGGAAGGCTGAAATCTACTGCAATCCTCAACACAGAGTAAAAGTTTACACAGAATTTGGAATTGCTGACATCCTCGTTCAGAGTACCAGACCTGTCCTGGAGGAGCTGGATGGCCTTTGCAAAGCAATGGAGAACTGCCTAGTAGAGTGGAAGAAATATCTGGAGACTCAAAGGAACACCTACTATCATCTCAACCTGTTCACTTCACACCAGCTCTTCTATTTATGTAGCCAACTGGCCAAAGCCCACAATAGTGTAATAGAGCCACAGATTCTTAATATGCTTTCTGTCATAAAGCATGACATTAAAGCAGAAGATATTACAAATGCCCTGGAGCAAGCCCTCATTACTCCACTTGACTCTGTTAACGCATCAGCAGGAGACAAGGAGTCTGTTACCTGGCATGACTATGTAATTCGTTTTCCCCAACTCATCAAAAGTCTAGCTGAATCTGGCTATGACACGTCAGTAGCAAAGGCAGCCCTACAGAGCTGCCTTCCAGATTCTGACATTACAGAGCAGAAGCTCATGAATTTTGCTTTTGAACGAGGTGATGACAAGGAAGAGGTTGAAAATCTGAGCAAATTATATGATGAGCAGAGAGAAGCCTTTCTGCAGAAGTCAAGTAAGTTTAAAAACAAGAACAGAGGTGTTGACCAGGCATCTTTTAGCACCCTTGCAAAAGATGAATTGGCCACCTCCTTTGAGAGTTTGCCATCCATCTGTGACAAGGTGAATCTGCTCTGGGATGCTTACTGTAAAAAATTCACTGGCCTTGTGTCAGACAAATACATCAGCCTGGATGTCTTTGGTGAAACACTGAAGCAATTAGCAGCTCTTGAAACCACATGTATCAAGAGAAGTTTACCAGTAGGACTTGAAGCCAGGAAACCTTCTCTCATCACATGTAAAGAAGAGGAAATGTTACTCTACATGCTCTCCATTTACAGACACACTGAGACAGCACCTCTCCCAACGTATGATGAGGTCCTGGTGTGCACACCTGACACAGAGGAGGAAGAAGTGGAGCTGATTGTTAGGAGAGCTCTTTCACCTAATTCTCAAAACCAGAAAATCTACTGTTTGCTGGGTGCTGAGAAATTAGCGTACAAAGTTTCCAAACAATTGGAGTCCCACTTCTTCCGCTTGCTGCAATCTTCTACAGTCTCTGACTACAGGTTCATTATCTTTTGCAATGCCAAGGCTCACAATTCTTATGTCATCACAGCCTTCGACACCTACAAAGTTACTATCCCATGCTACTCTAAGACAGAAATCCAGGCATACCTGAGCACCCATCTCAAAGTGCCTTGTGGGACAGCCCCTGTTGCTCAGGCCTTTGAAGAGCCCTATCAGCAGAATGTGAAGTTCGTATTTTCAACTCGAGCAGGAATGGGTAGGTGTTAGTAGTCCTACTGTGAGTCATACTCAAACCAGGAGGCCTTGAGAGGAATGTGGCACGCAAAGGAGAGCCCTCTGCTCTCCTGCATGTGTTTAGCTTTGGGTAGTGAATTTCAAGAGGGATTTTAGGCCACTTGGAAAGACTCCAAAGGGGAATGACAATGCAGTCCAGAAAACATGATATTCAGGGGAGCTACAGTTGTCTAGTCTAAAGAGAAGCAAATAATGGTGTGAGACTCTGGGAAAGAGCAAGAAATCCCTCTCTGTGGGATAAGGTAGCTCATAGGAATGGGAGTCAGTTGCCTAAATAAGCCCAGATGTCTTCTGAAAGACCACAGGCTAGCCCGACTGGCTGCCACCTGCCATTCCAGAATGGAACAAGTGTTCTGTAGGCCCTTTGCAAGCCTCAGAAAGATGTCTCATGCTTTCTGCCATTTCTGAAACCTTCCAAGACATGTCTCTTTTGATAGTAAATTTTTCAGACATTTTGTAGTGCACATCTGAGGCAAGTTGGTCAGGATCCAAGCCTTCTATGCTATACATAGCTCTACAGGCTATGTCTGTACTGGTAACCTCAATGGGGCTGGAGTGCGGTCATGAGTCTTGAGATGGGCCATACTTCTAAGATTGTGAGCACATATTTGAAGAATGTCCCTCATGTGACTGGGATCTGCTCACAGATATTGCGCTAAAGAGGCTGTTGAGAGATAGCCATTCTGTTTAGAGGCAGTTCAGATACCTGGAGAAAGACAGTCCCATGCATGTGAAAGGGCAGATTGACTCCGAGAGTGATTCTTGGCCCTCTCTTCTCTTCCTTAGGGAAGTCTCTCTTCGTGGACAATACCATCCAAAAGATCCATGCCCAGCTGGGTGGTTTACCAGTGGTTCACAAAACCATTAGACTGATGGAGTCAGAGATTGACTTCCAGTTACTTCTGGAGGAGCTACTCTCTGCTGAAGAATTCCCAACTGAATCTCAGCCCGCCGTCTTCCATATTGATGTGTCACCAGTGGTGAGAATCTTTATCTTGGTGGTTGAATGTGGAGTGTCCAAGACCTCACAGGCTTTTTTGGAGGAGGGTATTTGCACAGCCTCTTGTGCTGGCTTGTTCTCATTTACAGTAGTAACAGCAGGTGCTTAAAAGTTAAAGTGAATAAGAGTTCTGGGTACAGTTTGGAAGCTCAGGTGCCTGCATTTGCCTTGTTCCATGCCCACATGCACACAGCTGTGTGAAATGGGTCTCATTTCATAAAATCAATCTTTCCTCCTACAGTGATGTCAATCACAGTGCAGGGCACTGGAGGATGGCTGAATTCAAACCAAGTGATCAGACCTAGAAGCCCCCATGCACAGGTAGAAGGAAGGGTTGGATTCACCATCTCACATCCAGTCTCTGGAAGGGGCTTTATTTAAACAAAAGGTAGTGGCATTAGAGCAGACAGTGAATCCAGATGACCTAGGCCTACCTTAGAAGGCTGCAGAGCACCAAGCATGCAATTATATTAACAGTTACAGCTGTCTCAGTGTGTGCTAGAATAGCAGTCCTGCACAAGAATGGGAGCAAAGCTGTAGCCTGGCTGTAGGTACTACTACCTACCTTGGGTATTGGAGTAAGTTTTTGATAGACATTTCTTTCACCAATTTTCAAATGTTTCTTCCCTGTCAGGTTTCAACAGGTCTCTACAGGTTGCTGATTGAGCTATGCATCCTAAGACACATCCAGAGTCCCAGTGGCTCAGTCTGGAAGTGCAAATCTTCTCATCTTTACCTGATTGAGTACCTGGAAAAAGGGAAAGATGTTAGCAGAACATGGAAACAAGAGGTATTCCTTTGGGGATGGTGTACATAGGTCAGAGGAATAGTAAGGGAGGATGTTAATATAACTAGGTCTGTACCTGCAGTAAATCTGCTAAAAAACAAAGTCTCTTTTAAGGCTATTTGTAATTTAGGGTCTGTCTCTCCTGTGGAGTGATGGCTTATCTGCATAGAAATAAGCTGTCTTAGCATTTCCTTCTCTGGAAAGGAAATGTAAAGTGCTGTGCAGAGTTTGGGTTTTTTTCAGTTCATTCCAGTATAACATAGACATTCCACATGTTCATATCTAATAGAAGTCTCCCTTAAGAGAAATGAGGGAGGACATTCTAAAAGACAAAATTGGGAATGTGATGGAGAGTTGGAACTTGCTGAGTGGCCTGGAGAGGGTGAATGGGGAGCAAGCATCCACTATCTCTTCCAACACAAGAACCAGGAGCATCAAACAATGTTAACAAGATCAGCTTAGAACAAATGAATGGGTGTGCTTCATGGTATGGGCCATAAAACTGTGAGAGTCCTTGCCAAAGCGGGCTGTGTGTGCCCCCTTCTACATAGGTGCAAGGTTAGACTGGCCAAGTATTTGGATGGAAAAGTCATTGTGGCTTACAAACTAGAGAAAGCAGATGAAGATGGAGAGTACCCTGGTACCCTGTGCTAAAACCTGTCTGTTTAGCAAATCATTTGGTGTGTGGAAACAATCATCCTTGCTCTATTCTATCTTTTCATTGGACATCCACTTAGCCCTAGGACCTTACAGGTCATGGGCATGTCAGTACCTATCCATATAGGAGAATGCATGAAGGCTTGGACAAATTTGATCTACATATATTCTTCCAAGCTTCCTGGCCTATTTGTGTGCAGAAAAAAGAGCTCTTGAACTGTACACAAATACAGAAAGTTGGACAGCTGTTCTCACTGTAATCTGTGCACTCCTTATTGACTTTCTTTTAGATGTCCAGTGAAACAGAAGAAGAGTTCCTGGATCTTTTTCCTGCAGTGAAATGTGTATCACCAATGCGGGTACTTGACTTGCTGGAACACCCCAGCTCTGGTCGTCTTTCTGAAATGAAAGAGGAGCACTTTGACCAAGACAAGTTGAAGACTGAAGCTTTCCAGAGGACTTACCAATACCTCATCAGATATAAGAGGAAGGAAAACCTTGACCATTTCATTTTCATCCCTAAGAGAACTGAAGGGACAGAGAAAGAGTGCCTGAAGCTCTTACTGGATTTCTGTGGGAAACACAACCCTTCTTGGACTGAGCTTAGCAACTTCACTCATTTCCTAAACTTCCAGCTAAGCAAATGTGAGAAATCGGTTTTCTGTAGCCCAGCAGCTGGAGAGGATTTCCAGGGGTTTAAAACATTTGTAGTAAAGTTCATGATCATGATGTCCAAGGACTTTGCTGTGCCCTCTCTTGACATCTCTGATGAAAGTGTGCCAAGTGCAGAAAATGATGATGAGGAAAACAATATTATGACCCAGTACCAGCTAAGACGAAAATGGGAACAAGAGTCCCACCCCTATATAGTCTTCCATGCAGACAATGACTCCATGGAATTCCTGGGTTTCCACATTAGTGAAAATCTGGATGCTATTGATGCCTATTCCAAAGCTGTTTTGGAAAAGGACGTTATCAAATGTAAATTATACCTCACTTTGAAAGTCCAGAATGTTCCTTTCAATAAGAAGTTTGAAGACTTGCCCAGAATGATGCAGCTGGAGGCCCTCTGCAGAGTTTTTGGTGTCAGCTATACCCAAGATCCAGATGAATCATATCAGTTGACACTGGACAACACCATGAAGATGCTTGCCATTCATCTGAGGTTCCAGTGTGGGATCCCTGTAATCATCATGGGAGAAACAGGTTGTGGGAAGACAAAGCTTGTGCAGTTCATGTGCAGCCTGCAAAGGGCAGGCAGGGACTTTCAGAACATGGTGGTGGTGCGTGTCCATGGTGGAACTACCTCCAAGACCATCCACAAGAAAGTTAGGCAGGCAATTGAGTTGGCACGCATCAATGAAGAAAAGTACAAAGTGGACACTGTACTCTTTTTTGATGAAGCCAATACATCAGAAGCTATCTTTGCAATCAAAGAGGTGCTGTATGATCGCAGTGTAAATGGAGAGAAGATTCTCACTGACAGTTTAAAAGTAGTAGCTGCTTGCAACCCTTACAAAAGGCACACCAAGGAAACGGTAGAGAAACTTGAAAAAGCTGGCTTGGGGTATCGAGTCCGGAGTGAAGACACCCTGGAGAAACTGGGCCACATTCCTTTGCGGCAACTGGTGTATCGAGTCAAGCCCCTTCCACCTAGCTTATTGCCTCTTGTCTGGGATTTTGGAGAGCTGAATGAAAAGACACAGAGCCTGTACATCAGAGAGATTGTAAAGTCCACCATGAAGAACAAGATCCCCATTGGAAATTTGGACATCTTTACCAGTGTCATTTCAGCCTCCCAGAACTTCCTCAGGAAGAAGAAAGATGAATGCAGAGTTGCTAGTCTTCGGGATATAGAGCGCTGCATGAGCATTGCACTCTGGTTTTATGAATTAAGAGACCTGCTATTTCCTCACATTGATGAGAAGTACAAAAAGAAGCCAATCTTAAATTGTGCACAGAGGGCCTTGGTCCTTTCAGTGGGAGCATGCTATTATGTATCTCTGGAGAACCGCAAAGATTACCTGGAGGAGGTTGCAAAATGTTTTTCTGTTCCTGCATCCCTGCTACAGCAAGAGATTGAGTTTTGCCAAGAGGTATTTCTTGACAACCTCTCTGTTCCTGAGGCAACAGCCTGCAATGATGCTCTGAGGGAAAACATCTTCATGATAGTTGTATGCATGGATTTACGAGTTCCACTCTTTCTGGTTGGGAAGCCAGGAAGCTCAAAATCCCTGTCTAAAACCATTGTTGTGGATGCCATGAAGGGCAAGCTGTCTAAAACCGAGTTGTTCCAAAGATGCAAGGAGATCCAGCTGTTGTCTTTTCAGTGTAGTCCCCATTCAAAGCCAGAAGGGATCATCTCCACTTTCCGACAATGTGCACAGTTCCAGAAGGAGAAGAATCTAGATGAGTTTGCGTCCGTGGTCCTCCTGGATGAGGTTGGCCTCGCGGAAGACTCACCAGAGATGCCACTGAAGACACTGCACCCTCTTCTTGAAGATGGATGTGTTGATGATGATAACCCAGAATCTTACCAAAAAGTTGGCTTTGTGGGCATTTCAAACTGGGCCCTAGACCCTGCCAAAATGAACAGGGGTCTTCTTGTATTTCGGACTGACCCTAGCAAAGAAGAGTTAGTTAAAACTGCAAAGGGCATCTGTGCTGCACAGCCTCCCCCTGAAAGCATTGAGTGTTTGTTTCCTTTGCTGGCAGAATTCTACTGCAAGGTGCTAGAAACACAAAAAAATGAATTCTTTGGGCTCCGTGATTTCTATAGCTTGATCAAAATGATACTGTCCTACACTCAGGACAAGAAGTGCATCTCTCAAAAGGAGATAATTATAAAGGCCATTCAGAGAAACTTTGGAGGCTCCAGTGATATCAATCCTGTTGAGCTCTTCCGAAAATACTTCAGTGATGTGTACCTTCCCCCTGACTTGGAAACCAGCCACACACTTTTTCTGCTAAAGGAAAATATGGGCAAACAGCAGGCTGGACTTAGGTCTCGGTACCTCCTGCTGCTGACAACCAACCAGGCAGCTTTCCACATCATCCAGAAGACACATCTTATAGATATTGAGAATTGTGAAATCATATTTGGCTCTGGTTTTCCACAAGACCAAGATTATTCCCAGGTATGCCGTTCTGTCAGCAGAGTGAAGATCTGCATGGAGACAGGCAGGCCTGTTATTCTTTTAAATATACACAACCTTTATGAGAGCCTTTATGATGTGCTCAACCAGTGCTTTGACAGGCTGGGGGGAAATTACTATGTGGACCTGGGTCTTGGCACTCACAGAGTGAAGAGTCGTGTGAAGGATGAGTTCAGACTCATTGTGATAGAGGAGAAGAACATAGTCTACACCCAGTTCCCCACCCCACTGCTGAACCGGCTGGAGAAGCACTGCTTAGACATGAACACTGTTCTGAACTGGCAGCAGCAACAGCTGAAGCAGGACCTGCAGACCTGGGCCAAGCGGTTTGTCTCCATTGACAACAACAAGTTCTCCAATGTTTCATCCACCAAGCTCAGCCCCAGGGAACAGGATGTCTTCGTTGGTTTCAGCAATGACACGTCTGCAGCTGTTGCTCTGGAGACCACACAGAACAGGTCCTGGGGAGATCTTGAGCCATGTGAAGAGACAGTGCTCTCCATTGCCAAAAGGAAACTTGTTCAGTGTGCAACCCCTGACTCCATCCTGCGCCTTAAATACTCCCCTCTGGATGATGCTGAGCAGATCCAAGACTTGTACTTCCACAAGCAGAAGCACAACAGCCTTGTTAGTGTTTTGGGAGAGACAGTTAACCGGCAGCCAAGGAAGGAGAGGACCACTGGGCTATGCCTGCAGGTATGTGTGCTTCACTCTAAAGCAGTGAGAGTTGTCTTCATTTTCCAGATGAGGGAGGCTGCCACATAACCTCCATTAAGCCACTGGATAATTTCCACTGTTGAACGGTGATGGGCTTCTACCTGTCCTCTTTGGCTCCTGCCCCATCAGTTGTATCACACATGTGCTTGACTTCTGCCTTGTGGTCCTCTGCAGTCAGGATGGGCTCTGCTTCTCCTCTTGACCTGGATGTGGTGGATCTGCTAACAGACAGGCAGTGGGTGCCAGGTCCTAAATCTGAAAGCTCTGGAGGTTCAAGGCTAAGATATACAGGGCATCATTCACTGCCTGCAGACAAGTGACAAGCACCACTGGTAATGCTGTTGACATCTCACCAAGCCTATAGCAGGATTTTAGGTGACTCAGGCAATTCTGAAGGTCCTCACTGCCCCCTGGCATCTATTTTCAGGAGCTGTTGTCCATGCCAGACAAAGCATCCTGATCAGTTCTCCAGTGACCACCACAGGAGCTCAGGAGTCTGTATTGCATAGAGATACCTAAAAGGGTAGCAGCTGAATCCCCAAAGAGAATCTACAGTACTGGGAGCCTACAGCCATTGGAGAGAGTCAGTCCGGTAGAGTCACATGTGGGGACCATCATGCTAGGCTCATAACATTGCATGGAAGGCTCTTCCAGGTTTGAAGTGCTCATGTGCCTCTCCCAGCAGGATTCCTTTGAAGTCAATATCTCATAACATCTGAGTCATTCCTAAGGACGCAGTTCAAGTCTGCCTCTTGTATCATAAGGAATTAAGGTTTTTCTTGTTGCTAACAATGCTCCCATCCTTCTTCCCTGTAAGCAGGGCACATTTCTGAGTCTTGCCTTCAGGAAACACTTAAAAAGGTCCGTAAGGAGATCACTTCCATTTTCCCGCCCATTGGGGATGGTAATACAACAAATACACATTATTCTGTGGAATTTATTTCCCTTTCGCTGCAGGTTTCTACACATGCAAGACTTTTAAATGAGAGAGATTTAGAAGAGATAAGGAAGACACTTAACCTTCAAAATAAAATCCACTGCCTCTTGCTAAACCAGTTTGACACCGAATACACTTTCCGCCAGGAACTCAGGTGAGGAAAGATTTCCTTCTCACCTTTGTTTGCTAATATTATAGATTGAGGTTTTGGGAAGGGGGGTGAGGGGGGGCAGTGAGAATGGAGAACATAGTTGGTTTTATGAATAAAGCAATAACAGCCCATTTCATTGTTTGCAGGAATTTTTTTGCACAATCATCAGAAGAGAAATTGCTTCTCATCCAGTTCCACTTTGATGAGCCACAGAGCAGCAAAAGGCTTCTAACTTGTGCCAAGTAAACATCCTTCCTTCTTTCTTCTTTCCTTCTGCATTTCTTTAGTCGGGTGCAAGGGTAAGGGAAGATGCAGTGGCCAAATAGCCATGGGATATAGTGTTGGGTTTAGTGACCTGTTCGATGGAGTCATTGCAGATGTTCTCATATATCTTTATGTGTATATCTCTGTGTGTGCACTCATGCCTGTGTTCTGTAGCTTAAATTTCCAAACCTGAGTTTCTTAAGATATTAGATAAAACATCCCTAACATCTCAGCTTTCACTCGTCTAAAAGAGCAATCTTCTTCATTCTGGGAGCATGCTTTATACACCCTTCCCACATTAAAATCACTTCACCGCAGCATGGTTGACTTACACAGCACAAGCTACTCCAAACAGAGCCTAACACCAGATGACTTTGTTCCCTTTAGTCATCAAACCAAAGGACTTTTAAACTGACATCTTGTGCCATTTGACACATCCTAAGGATGCAAGACATCTCTCAGGGCTGGTTGATAGGACACAGGGCCTTCAGGAGACTTAAGCTCTTCTAGACACCAGTAAGGGCTGAAGTAATTGACAGTAGCATTATATGAGGTTGGTCTCAAGCCCTTGAAGTACATTAGTGACATCCAGCCAGATGTGTCCTTTCTCAGCATGATCCCTCTTACCCCTTTTTCACTCTCCTACATTTCCTGTTCATATCCTTTTTTCACCATGTCAGCTATTGTGCATGTTGTCTCCTGAAATGCTTTGTTCTGGGTGGATTTGTACTTTTCTAGAGGGGTACTTGAACTTTTCTGGTCCTGCTTCTAGGAAACCTATGTTTGATTTTGGCCTGTTTCCCCGCAAGCCCTGGATTGGTCCGTGTTGTGGTTTTTATTGTCTAATTTGTCTGTGTGTTTGTGGCAGATATTGCTAATGCTATTCCCATGATTGACAGAAAGAACATATGATTGGGCAGAGACCCATATATATAACAAAACAAATTCAGATTAAAATAAAGATTCAGTATTCATCAGGGAGGGAAATTTCTCATGAAAGCGCTTGCTGAGGCATGTGACTGAGTCATTACTTGGAGAGGGTATAGGGGAGATACATGGTCCTGAGTCTTGAAGTAGCCAGCACCATCTTGGCTCTTAGCCTTGTCAGAGCAGGGTCTGGGCTGAGCTGAGCTCCTCTCTTCCCTTTCCACAGCTGCAGCACAGCCACACCTTGAGCTGTTGGTCTTTCCAAAAGCTCTGTCTTAGCCCTGGAAAGGCAGTGGGTGGCTTTGGAAGACTCTTTGCCCAACCAGCAGACGGAATGGAAGTTTTAGCTTCTCTGTCCCGATTCTAGGTACTGTGTCACAGATGAGAGACGGAAATCAACAGGCACAGGCCCATCACATGTTGTGCTGGCCACTCAAGTCCCACGAGTTCTGGGAGGTTGCAGCTACCTGGCATTTGACAGTGGTAAGGTTGAAATTGCTATTTTGGACCAGGGAGAGAGTGGGAGGGAAAGGAGAGTTTGGTTGTGCAAGGTCAGGAAGAAAGGTGCAGGGAACTATAGACCAAGTAGCCTCACACTGATCCCTGGAAAGATGATACAGCAAATAATCCTGTAAACCTTATACAAACACATTAAATGCAGTAAGTCAACATGGATTTATGAATGGAAAATAAAGTCTGACCAACCTGACAGCCTTCTATGATGAGATGACTGGCTTGGTGGATGAGGATAGGATGGTGGATTGTGTTTATCTTGACTTTAGTAAGGCTTTTGACACTGCCTTCCATAACATCCTCACTGACAAACTAATGAAGTATGGACTAGATAAATGGATAGTGAGTTGGACCAACAAGCAGCTGAACTGCTGTGCTCAGGAGGTTTTTTTCTCAACAACATGAAGTCCAGCTGGAAGCCAGTTGCTTGTGGTGTTACCTCAAGGATTGGTACTGGGGCCAATACCATTTAACATCTTCATTAATGACCCAGATGATGAGACAGAGCATAACTTCTGTAAGTTTACTGATGATACAAAACTGGGAGAAGCAGCTGATACAGCAGTGTCATGTTGCCATCCAAAGGGACCTGGACAGGCTAGACAAATGGGCTGACAGGAACCTCATGAAGTTCAACAGAGGGAAGTACAAACTCCTGCCTCTGTTTAGGAATAACCGCAGGCACCAGTACAGGCTGGGCACTGACCAGATGAAAAGCAACTTCACAGAGGTCCTGGTGGACATCAAGTTTAACATTAGATAGCAATGTGTTCTTGTGGCAAAGGCGGCCAACATAGCCTTCATTAGGCAGAGTGCTGCCAGCAGGTTGAGGAAGGTGATCCTGCACCTCTACTCAGTACTGATGAGGCTACACCTGAACTACTGTGTCCATTTCTGTGCTTCTCAGTATAAAAGAGATATGGACATACTGGAACAAGCCCAGTGAAGGGCCACAAAGATGATTAAGGGACCAGAGCATCTTTCATATGAGGAGAGGCTGAGCGAGCTGAGACAGTTCAGCCTGGAGAAGAGAAGGCTTGTGGGATCTTATCACTGTGTATGCATACATGATGGAAGGGTGTATAGAAGATGGAGCCAGATGCTTCTATAGTGTCCCATGACAGGACAAAAGGAATGGACCCAAACTGAAATACCAGAAATTCCATTCAAACATTAGAAAAAAACTTATTTACCTTGAAGGTGGTCAAACATCTTTTGGGTTATAGGATCATTTTCTTCCCTAGTTAATGGATGAGAGTGACAGTTATGGCATTTGTGCCCATTAGCACTGTGAAGATGAAGAGGAGGGAACAGAATGATACAAGAGAAGCACACCCTTCCTCAGAGAAAAAAAATGTAGGAGGTGGTAAATCTTCCATCTCTCAATATCTTATTATCCAGACTGCTGGTAGGTCAGGGCATCAAAGGTTATTGATTTTTCTGGATGGGTGTGGTGCACCAAGGAGAGCAGGTCAACTGTTCACAGCATTTATGACCACTACTATTATTTCTGTTATGCTTACTGTCTCCCCAGGTGAATGGATGTCCATCCACTTGGATGATCTGATGCCCCCAGACAACTTTACATCCAATCTAGGCCAGCTCGCCAAAATGACTATTGCTGAGATTTTCATGACCACCTTCCAGGGGCATCTCCCAACAGGTAACCAGCCACTTCCTTTTCACCCACTACCTGCATAGCTCTGTCCTTTCCTCTGTGTCCCATTTGCTTCATCTACAGCTTTAAGTACAGCTAGATCAAATGGTCCATGGAGGCACTGGCTTTGGGTTTCAGCACGACTTGCTATATTTGATGTTTCTGAAGTCCTCACAGAAATGCATTTTTTTCCTTCTGGTCTGCAAGCTGTGACTGTAGGGTAGGAGGGTACCTAAGCTACTTCTTCACTTACCGTAACAAATTGTCTGTACTGCTGTGGCATTCAGTGTACAGTAGACGCACACTTATTCACTCGGATTCCCAGAAAGTCTTTCTGTCTGGCTTGTCCAAATAAAAATCCATGATCTGGTGAGTTCAAAGCCAAGTCAATAAATCCCTGCCATTGTTTTCAGGATGTAAGGACCAGGGGAGGCGGGAGCAGTTGGGGAGGAACTCCACTTTCTCTCCTGACACACCCACATTTCCTACAGGCTGCCAATCAAAACTGAGAACTGGTAACTGGGCAATTCTCCCCAGAGGGGACAAAGCCCAGGTTGAAATTTCTGAGATTAAGAGCTTTGCAACCCTTTGTTGATTGTTGAGAGACTTCAGATGCTTCCTTTGGATAGAGGTATCTATTTTTCAGCGTTTTACATTTTTTACAAAGGAGTCTTATGAGTGATTGTGATTTCAGGTTTTCCAGAGGAATCTGCTGCTCTTGAAGATCCAGCCAAGTCCAGTCTTTTTCCAGAAGGAAATGTATGATTTATTTCTTTTTTTTCTTATTTCAGCTGCCTGACATTACACAGAAATTGGTTTAGGAAACAATAGCTTTCATAGGCATTTAGGGATCCAGTTAATCTGGTCCCTGATTCGGATAGTACGTTTGCCAGAAGAAAAAGTAGTTTTAGATCTTTGTGAGTCACACAGTGAAGGTGAAGTGGTTGCCACCATATGACAGACCAGCACAAGGCCAGAGTAGGCACATTTAAGCCTTTGAAATTCTTTCACCATTTCTGCATCCCTTCTCAGAGCTTTTAGCACTTCTCTGCAATGTTGGAATTGATTTACTAGATACGGGATGCTGAAGTATACATATAGGTGGGAGTCCATTTTGTCAAGTTAAGTAGGAATTGACAGAGCAAATGCAATGGAGTGTTAGGCAATATTCTGACATTCAATCTTTTCTATTCACAGCTCCTCAGCATGGACTCTATGATCAAAGAGAGCATCCAGAAAGCTGTGATCCAGCTGGAAGACAAGAGAGACAACAGTAAGCGTGCCACTAAGAGAATCATGATCATTCACAACTTGCTTTTCCAGGATCATAGTAGAACCACACGTAAGTACAAACCAACTCATTCTCAGAGTGCATGTTTGTTTTGGTTTGATTTTTTTTTTATTTACACATGGCTGCACCTTGCACATTGAAAACTGTGGAATAGGGGGAATGAAATGAGTGGTTTAATGATCTATCCTGGTGCCCATCTAGGCCAGCATGAGGGGAGGTCCCAAAGGAGAAAGGACTAGGTTTTCTCAGGGCCTCTTCTGCTCTCCATGCACCCCATGGTGTGTGTTCTCATGGTCTGTACTGAAAGCTTTTTGCATGATCTTCAGTGGAGACCTTGTTAGAAAAATCTGAGGAAGAGGTCACTTTATACCCCCATGACTAATTTGGAGTCCAAAGCCACGCAACAGATTTCTACATAGAACTGATACAAATTATTTGTGCAGGTGTTGTGGTGTCTTTATAGAAAACTGTGGCTTCAGAAAAATAGAGAGGGTCTAAGTTTCATCAGAAACCAAGCGCTAAAATTCTTGTAGATGCATTTGGAAATTATTCTTTCCGGCACACAAAGACTTTTTCACTGTGATGCATGACTTATGTCAGGTGCCTAGGACAATTGTTAATGACTGAAAAAGAAAAGAGACATGTTGTCACTGCAAAGATGTGATGGGTCTGGAAAGTCCTTGAAGTCCTATGGCAAAACTAGAATTTATTCGGTACTAAATTTTGGCTATAAGAAAATGTCCCTAAGGAAAAGATGTTTTCTTGTGATTTTGTAGTGACACCTTCATTCCTCAGCACAACGCAGAATGAATTCTGCCTGTGGTTATATCAGTACTGAAATGAAAACAACCCCATCAATTTTATTTTATATTGATACTAGTGTCATACAGATAAAACAGGATGTCAACCCTTCTGCAGCACTGACTATTCTTGTGACATACAATACTAAACATATCTCCGTATCAATATGAATATCAGAGTATTCATACACCAAAGAACCTAATTCATACAATTACTTTTAAAAGACTGAGACAGAATGAAGTGGATTTTCTTTTCTCCGTCAAAAATGGCATGTCCTTACTAAATGTTGCCCCCCAAATCAACTCACTAGAAATAAAGAGGAAAGAAAAGAGACTAGGGTAGAATATAAAGACCCTGGATTTTATTGTGGAGGAAAACCAAGAACTTTCATAGAGGTCACTTTCTATGACTGGCTTTACTTTGAAAACTTCATGTGAAAACTCCTTTCATTCAAATGTTTTAATAAACATTGTTTTATAATTAGTGTCAAGTCATTTCATGAGTGTGCTGAAAAGGAGAATTTGCTACCTTCTACAAGAACGTGAGAAAATAAGCCTTGAGCCAAGGGAGTGGGTGTTCCGCAGAGCTGTCTCCAGTGAATTTATCCTTGAAGACACTTCATTCAGGTAATTTTGTCTGTGCAATCCCTTCCAAATTTCTAAAACAGGTCTGTTTCTGAGAGTGTTAAAAGAGCTGTGCTGTGTGAAGAAAATACTTAATGGGGCTCAGGTATGACAACCAGGAGTCATATTGTTATCTGGCATACAGAAGTAGATGCAAGTTTCTGATGAATAGAGGTTTGGTCAGGTACAAGGAAGGCAATTGACAGGCCATGTTATCACTTTTAGGCATGCACTTTGGATGCATTTAGAAGACATTGTGGCGAACCTGTTTGCTCAAATTCTCGCAGTGGTGGATGCTAACAACAACCTGGATCATCTCTCTCCACTGTCTCCACTCTCAGAACTGTGGCTTCAGATGTTCAAAGAAGAATCATTCTTGAGAATTAAATATACCAGCAAGTAAGAGACTTGGTGAAAAAATACAAGATGTACATTAGGAGAACAAAAACCTGCTTTCATAATGCAACCCTCTGCAGAAAGAAATGGTAAAACAAGTCTGAATTTAAGATGAGCTCACATAGTTATGTCATGACACTGGAATCAGAACCTTCCGGTTCTCTTAAACCTTCAGCAACTCAGAAAGGAACTCCAGTTCCTTGGAACAGTGATTAACACAGGGTAAAGTCAGAAACAAACTTGAATTTGAGTTCCCTAAGGTTAGAGCAGATGAATTCCCTCCCCAGCACAAAATGCTGCATGTCCAAATACCACAGTTTTAATTGATCAGTCAGCTTACTGTGAACAGCAGCTGTGGTCAGAGACAAGACAGATGACTGACTCAGTTGCCTTTTCCCCGCTACAGTCTTTTTTAGCCTTCAGCTCCCAGTGACAGGAACTTATTCTGCTCCTGCCTTGTTTTCACTGTTGCTGAGTAACTACAAAATGTCTTTCTGTGCTTTTTAACCCTTTAAGCAGAACATATACCAGTGACAGTCAGAAAATTCTCTGTGATGCTTCAGTTCAATACTCATAGAGCATATTATGTGATTACTTCATTCTGTTCTGTCTAAGGAAACAAGATACTAAGATTTCCGTGTTGTCAATGACTGAAGACCCCAACACAACTGTGTTTTGCCAGTTTCCATTCAGTTGGGTTTTGAAGGCCTACCTGGAGGAACTATGGGACATAGTCTATAAAACAAAAGGTAACATCAGACTTTTCAAGCACATGTTGTTCTTTAACCCAGGGAAGCTGATCTCCTGAGTCTCCTGCAATAGCCAAAGATTTTGGTAGGAGCAACCATAGCATTTCTATTCCCCATGCAACCATAATGACCTGATATAACCTAGAACATCAGTTGTGTATTCCTGTTTTCCTGTCAATGTCTATTTTCTGGTGACCTGACATCTCGTCTTTTCCTCTAGGACTTCCAAAAGTGCCTATGAAGGAATCAGCCAAATTGTTCCAAGAACAGATCAAAAATGTGTTGATGCCAGACGGCAGTAGTCCAGAGGTGATGCAGTATTACACCAATGACTTTCTAAGGATGACTTTTCCTGGGCAAGATCTTTCTGTCTATGAGGTAAATAGGGTTTGGTGAAGCACAAATTTTAAATGGCACTGGGTTGTGTCACAGAGCCACAAGATCCAAGAATGGGGAAAGAAATTAGCCTCTCATGTTCTGCACACTTCCCAACAACTGCTGGTGCCCAGTCTTAATTTCACCTTAGTAAAAGTTTTTTTAATGTAGAAGCTTTATTGGACTGCTTCAGCAATGCTGCATGCCATCCTCAGTTTCCTGCTGTTCGTTTGGAGCAGAAATAACACCTTTTATTTTATCTGCAGATTTTGTCAAAAGCTCTTCTAGTCAATGCAAAACAGCTCTGCTCCTTTGTGGGGCAGGAAGATATAAGCTTTTCCCCCATTTGGCTTCACATGGAATATTTCTACCTACGAGAGGAGTACCAGCTCTTTGTTGACTTGGTAAAAAGTGATGAGACTGTAACAAGTGAGCTGAAGGAAATGTACAAGAAGGACCTGCCAGAAATGGTGAGCAAAAGGGAACAGCTGGTGTTTCACAGAGCGAAGTGGCGCAGCCTGTTTCTATCAATGGTCACTAGCAAATACTCAGTGTAAGTGTGTAAGAAAAGAGTCAAGACTTCAGGGGATCTTTCCTTCGAAGTATTTTCCACCTTCCAGTAAGTCTTAGGGAGTTTCAGAGCTAGCAGTCATATCCAGCTCATTCACTAGCAAATGACCTGTACTTCATCCTCCTCTAACCATTTTTTAATTCCATTTATACTCTTTGGTCTTCAGAACTTCTGTAATTTAATCTACACTGTGTAGAAAAATACTACACATCCTTTTGCTTGTGTTATTCTGTGTATGACATTCAACTCTTCTTAGACATTCACACCTTACAGGTGACAGTCACAGTATTTAACTTCTGGGGTGGGATCCAAGACTGGATTCAGACACTAGTTTACATGTCTACCATGATATGTTTATATTTGCAATGGTCATCTAATCTCCTGTGATTGCTAGTAAAATCATGAGCTACAGACACAGTGGGGAGAGTCTCACGACTGAAGGGAGAGGTACAGTTCAGTTGCCCACAAGTAGGCATCTACTGACATTTCAGATGCTTTATGGCCTCCAGGTCCTGCTGCAGTAGGGCATGAATCTCCTGTAGGTCCTGTGCCCCATCTGCCAGCTCTGCAAAAATGTCTTAGACATGCAAAGGCATTTCAGCTGACAGCAGAGACTTACAGTAGGACAACTAGATCTCACCTAAATAACTCTTTCCAAAGAACAATTCATTCAACAGTCTTAAACATCTCTCTGTGAAACAGAAGAACTGTTCTTTGGAGATACCTATTTCTCCTTCCTGAATGTCAAGGGGTCTGAAGACAACACATTTAGAAGCCTAGAGCTGAAAGTTTCCCTGTGGAGGGAAACCAGTACTCTGGTTCAAGTAGTCAAACAGTATTCAAGACTTAAGTGCCACACAGAGTTACACTATGGTACAATTATGATTTCTGTACTGTTGTCACTTCCCTATCTAATAAATTCCTACTGTGGTATTTGTTTGCACTAAGCTAAGGTTTTCTGAGAATTCCCCATCACCACCTCCAAAGCTTTTTTTCACCAGGGTGCAATGGGGTTAGGTCAGATATAAAAGCTATTTTTTCTTCTCTCTTTTTTAAATATAATTTCAGTTTGTCACTCTTGACACCTTGAACATTATCCTGAAGAAAGTGCAGCCCACAGATAAGCTTCTGTCATTTGAGGGCTGTACAGAATGGCTTGGAAGGGTCAGGTCCATTAAGCCCTGGATGGAGTGGATCAGTATGGACAATTACCAGATTCATCTTTATCAGAAAAAAAGGGAACTCCTGAAGAGTGTGTCGTAAGTCCAGCCCTTTTCAACAGCCCTATTTTTGTCTTTCAGGTAACAGGTCCTCTTTCAGACAAGCCCAAAACTTTTCCTTCAAATTGTTGGCATGTTTGCCAAAAGATTCTGCCAGTTCTCAACAAAAGATTTGAAAACTAAAAGGCTTGAAGCTTAAAAATACAGTCTGTGGAGAATGATTGCTCATAGCCTGTCCTTTTTCCCTGGAGCTCCTAATCCAGCATTTCAATGAATCAAGACACTTCAGGCAAATAAATGGGGCCTTAGCTATTCCATGAGCTAAGTGTCTACACTGTGATCTTAATTCATCCTTTCCTTGGAAAGCTGTAGTAATTAGTTTGAGAACCTTAATCACTGAAACTGTTGGCTCCATCCTAATCCTTTGCTCTTCCTGTTGTCTGATTATCACAAAAGCATTAGCAAAATCACTCCAAAAAGCTGTCTTAAGAACTATGTATTTTGATCATGGTCACGTATCCATCATCCCTTGACAATAAGACCTGTTTTCCTGAACATCTGACTGCATGCTTGATCATGCCCAGAATGCTTGCTGTAGTAAAATAGGTATCTCCGTAGACAAAACCCAGTAACGATTTAATAACTCGGTTTGGTCTGGAGACACTCCAACAAGTTACATAGACAGGACCATGCCATATTTTTCTCTCCTTGCTTAGTCTAGTCCTCCAAAGCTAGCCCAGGAGTCCTTGTGTCCTCAGATCATCTCAGAGTACCTGAGATGTCATAGAAATCTTTGTTGGAATGGACCTCAGAGGTCCATAGGCCAGCCTCCCACTTAAAATGGCACCACCATTGCCAACAGTAGAGTAGGTCACCTGTGGCTTTCTCTGGCAAGTCTTGAAGCATTGTTCAATATCTGTGTATGTGTTTTCCAGACACCAGTGGACCTGCACCAAGATTGTCTACATGTTCTTTGACCACCTGCTGCACAATGAGACAGAAATAGATGAGAAGCTTCTGAGACTTCTTGTGAAGCAGTTCATCTTCACCTGGAATGTATGTGCTCAGTGTAGCGTTTGCCTGAAAATTTTATAGCCTTGGAGACTAGCAGAGTTTGGAAAGAGCCTTATATTCCATGGATTCCTCTGATCCCAGCTGGAGGGAGGGCATAGAAATGGGAAGAGAGTGGGAAGAAGATGGAAACATTATCCGGTGCAAAAAACCCTGAGATTTCAGAATCATTATGAAAGCCCCCCCTGAATCAGAATTTTATTTAAAGGAAGGTTTCCTTGAAAGCTTAAGATGTATTTCATGTCAATTATCCCTGGCATTACATGAAGAAAGATATTGTTGTGTCTGTTTGATTTTGGTGTTTTATTATGTAATTTTGTGGTGATGACATACCATATTGTTCCTCTTTCATATGCCAAGAAGATATTTCCGTTGAGCTCTCACCATCTTTTTTTTCCTACAGCGCCTGACTGAAACACAAAATTTTGATCCAGCAGAAGCTTTTGAGTTGGTGACAAAAGTGCTCAAGAAATGCAACCAAAATGCTGACACTGTGTACCTTGTGTAAGTCCAAGCCAAAACAAAAAAAAGAAAAAAAAAAAAAAAAAGAAAAAAAAGCCCAAAACCAACCTGTCCAGGGACATTTTACATCAAACCCATTTTTTTTAAAGGATGGCGTAAGATCATCACTAATCAATGGGGATGAATCTCCTCAGGCCAAAGACTATCCTCAGGCCAAATGCCTGGAGACTTCTAATTACAGGGCTTGTAGTACCCAACACCAGAAGGCAATGGAGCAAAGTCTTTCCCATGCTCTGTTGCACCTGCCTTGTGACAGAGACAACCCTGGAAATGAATGTGATATAACTGATGTAGGTACTCACAGGCTTAGTGAGATTGTCAATGAGGCCCATCCCTCTCACCTAGCCATGCTTATCATGGCAGGCCACACCTCGTAGGTGGGATGGTCCTTGGTAGAGCCAGACCCTTATTAAACTAGCAGATGTAGCCCTTATTCTCTACTCTAGGCTAGTTAAAAATGCCCACAGGAAAAACTAGGCATGAGAATCCCGTGCGCACCCTGAAGTCAGGCACCAGTGTATAAATCAGCCCTGAGTTGTGTCTTCCTTTGGTGGCATCTTTCAGGAAGGGTGTGAAGGACTGCAAGAGCTGTCTACTGGAGATCACTGACCCAGCAGAACTACCCTGTGGCCACATTTTCTGCTCACAGTGCATCCGTGAGTGGAGAAGCAAGCAGTGTAAGATCTGCAAGGATAACTTCCCGGAGGATTACACACCCACAGCTACAGTGGCCACGAGGTATTCTGTAACTAACTAGTAAAACAACTAGTTTTGTCTCAGTCTCTATTACTTCATATAAAATACTGGAATAGTTGCCAGAGCAGAGGCTACACAAATGTCATTAACATGTGAGCTCCATGGAAATGTCAGTATTCACCATGTGTAGCAAACCCTTTGGTGGTGAAAGAATTCATGTGAAGTGGGCTGGTGTCAGTTTCATCCCTCTTACCTCCATCTCAACAGACAGTCTATCCAGGCATACATACTACATAAGAATCCATTTGTCTTTGTTCTCTAGGTATTTTGAGTGGAGATAGGAAAGAGAGAGAGTAAAGGAAGAAGAAAGTTTGTCCTCAGTGTTCCAGAGAAAATGCTGTAGTGGGTTTCTGGGGGTTAATTCCCCTATTTATTTAAAAAGTGTATTTCTTCTCCACAGTCTAGGTGTACCTGGCCTTTGGTCACATTCAGAGAAGCAGAAAAGAGAAGTTGTTATTTTGCTTTATTGGGTTTTGATGGTAGATCTTGATTTTATTCCTTCCTACAGGGAAGCTGTTGCACGTCACAACAAATTCAGGAGGAAATGTAACTCCTTCTTTGTGGAGTTTGTTGCCACCTCTGTCTTGGGAGAGAGAGGCACACCATCCCCAGAAGTCATCACTCGACTGATCCAATTTGTGGCCTGCAAGCCATCCAGCTCTGAGCACCAGGCAGTAAAAAGGGGTAAGAGCCTGACTTCACTGGGACCCTGCCCTGATCTTGTACTGAAGAAAAATAATTAATGTCATCCTTCATTTTTAGTGTGCAAGTCAAAAAGTGAGCTGTCACCCTTTGAAGAGTGCATGGACACCAGTCCAACATGCAAGTCCTCCCTCTTGAAACTGCTCCTGCGATATGGGTTAGCATGAGCTACCTTCTAACCTGATCACTGAGCCACATTGGCTACGTGGATGCTCACATCCTGTGCCTTTTTTCTGTCATAGGTTCAACAACATAAAAGTTCACCTGGAAAAATATCTTTCTGAGATGGAGGAAAAGATAATCTTCCACAAAAGGAACTGGAACCATTTCTACTTCATGGTGGTGCATTGCCTGGAGGCAAGTGCAAATATCTTTAAGCTGTTCCTGGAGTTCATACTCAAACTAAACATCATTTCCTGTCCTGCCCTTTGCAGATCACACTCTTCCTCTCTTTTCCCCCACACTGGCTCCTGGAACAGGCTGCTGACCTCCCTTGGTTATGTGCCTAAGCATAATCTGGAAGAATCCAGGCCTGAGTTAATAAGGTCCAATGTACAGTCTAAATTTCAGAGCTGGATCTCCTGGAGTCCAGGGGTGCCCATGGCCTGATATGTAAGCCACAAGAGTCTCCCTTGAGCACAGCTGATACTCCGAGCAGAACTGCCCCTGGTCTCTGCTCCACTTTGAACTGATGCACTAGAGTTATGCACAAACACATCATTTCAACATGTGATTCCCCACCAAGTGAATCAAGAAAGGGGGCAGTTGTGTCCTGCCAGAGAAGCTGAGTTGGGACTACCCTCAAAGGTGATGAAAAATATTCCACCTGCAAAGCAGGTCATTGCTGGGGGCTTGACATTCACAGGGTACAACAGCACAGCATAACTGAGCCCTGCACCTGGTGAAAAGGCTTAGGAAAGAAGAAGGGACTATCCAGAACCTATGGCAGTTTTGGACTCTTACTTTACCCCTCTCTTTCTTATTGAACAGGATTTTATGTACCCTTCTTCTCAAGATGATGTCAACCAACTTGTTGAAAGCTGCCTCTCTACTGCAGACCTTTCTGCTTTCTGCTCATGCAAGGCCTCAAAAATTGACACCCTCCAGTTCATAGCTCGTCTCCGGTTCTCCATCAGCCATGTGGCCACTGTGCTTGGCAGACAGGCACTCTGTGGTGAGTACTTCTGATAGCTACAGAGAGCATGATATTTGTGTTTTCTCATAAGCGGGTTTAGAATAAGCCTAACATTCATTAGTACAGGAGGTTTCTGAATTTAAAAAAAAAAAAAAAAAACAAAGCTTTGTCTAAACTTAAGAGGTTTAACAAATGAATTTTCGAGAGGTGATTCAGAAGGCTAATCTATTTCTTTTAAATCTAGATAATGTTTTAAACCTTTTATTCTGACTTTATAAAACTATTTTTTGACAATATTGAAACTGAATGGGGATAAAGTACCTAAATATTTTTGTAGAAATATGTTGCATCCAAAGATGGGTATGTTGCACCCAAAATGTATATATTACCTAGAACTTGTTGATTTCCTCTGAAACCATTTTCATTTTTCTGGATTGTTTTCTCAGTATTGAAACATCCAGTTTTTGCTCAGAGTTAAAATAAACTTATCTGAATATTGGCATTTCCCCTGAGTAAATAGTTCACCAGACTTAAGGGGCATTGTACAGCAGTGTACCAAGACAATCACTTAAGTCTCTACAGGTAAGTAGGTGCATGTGCTGGGACTCTGTTCTTCCATTCTTTTGAGAATGACAGGCAGAGTTAATGGAGTTCACACTGAACATGTGTGAGTCTTCTGGTTTAGAAGCAGATGTATTGCACTTCAAACTCTGTTGAGTCTCTTCCTTACATCTTTGTCAGCTTTTAAGAGTGTCTAAGCAAAGTATGAGTGAGGAGATGGACACAATCTTGACCTCAATCCGTATAATCAACGGAGATACAGGTGACCCTTTATAAGGCCAAGATATAAAGTAGGCCAGAGGATTCCTGCTTCTCTCAGCTACCTAGGACAGAGCCATGGGATTGCTCTCTACTTTCTGGAAAGCCTTTGAGAGCTTTCCTCTCTGACCTAAGAAACCTGCTAAACAAGATTACCCAACCAAGATCCTATAATGACCAAAAATGGGAAAACAGCGCACCATTCAATCCCCATATTCATTGCCTAGTATTCTACTTCCCTGCATGCTGTAGGTATTAAGAAGCCTAAGATGCTATGGCTGCAGGCCATATTCCTACTCTTGGGAGAAAAAGTGTTGTTGCAACCTAAGCAGGTGGTGTGTCTGCAAAGGATCTATGATGTACAACTGCATGGGAGCAAGCCTAATGAGAAATCTCACTGGTAGCTGCAGATCCAAACATACCATCTCCTGGTGGGAACAAGCAAGAGGAGCAAGACCTGGTGAATGCAATGAAGAAGCTGGTGGCAAAAGCACAGACACCATGGCCTCAAATATTTCTCATTAGAAATCTCTGTAACAACTATGGGTTCATCCAAATGCAGAAGATCCTTCAGACAGAAAAATGGATTTTACCCAGAGGGCTTCAAATTTCACAGGTGAGTGTCTTCCAAAAGCCCATCTACAGGTCAGTGAAGTTGTGCCACCCAAGCACACAGATGCATCCAGGCTTTTCTTTGCAGCCAGCTCTGAGGGTGTCCAGCTGGCTAACTTGAGCCCTGCCTGGTGAAATACATCTTGTATTGCATCCTGTGTGTACAATCAGAGCTGATGGGATAGGAAACTTAAGTAACAAAAAATATCTTCTTAGCGGCTTTCTTGCAGTCTAGAGAGGGGTATAAGCTCCTCTAGAGAGTGCTTCATCCCTCCTTCATACCTGCTTAACATGTGACTGTTCCCCTGGAGGCACCTATTCATGTATTTGGAAGACTGCAGAAATGAAACAATTGCACAGTAAAATTCAGGCAGAACAGATTTCAGACCCCATGTCTCTACAGCACCCCAAGTTTGTCCCCATGATACAAACTCAAATTTTAAAAGATGTAAAACCAGTTTTTAATATTGATAACACAAAAATGACATGATCATTTGTGAGGGGTCCATCTGAATGCTTCAGTGGGCTTGAGACAGCCTTCTACACATGCTGGTGGTATCTTGTTATGATGACTTAATTTTCATCTGTGTTTCACAGGATATAGGTGCCTGGTCAAATATAACACTGATGTTTTCAGTGCTGGACAGAGCAGAAAATCAAATAAAAAACAAAGATCCCCAGGAAGTCCAGAGACTGATGGTGAGTATACATTGTGTCTCCTACAGAATTCCATGGAGTTTTTGTAGAAAGCTATAGGAATTTCATCCTGAGTTGGAGACAAAAGGGTCACCACTTTTGAAGCCTACCAGAGGGCACTTCATCAAGAGGTGCCTTCTGGATCTCCTTATATTCCATCTGTTTTGTTCAATTTCTTTTCTAGCCTATCATAAAACAAATGGAAAACATTCTCCAAACACCGTTGCTTCCAGAAGAGCCTCTGGAAAGCAAGATGAAGAAGATCGTGGATGCTTTGTGCAGACACAAAAACAAGGTCTTGATGGAGGTGTTGTTTCACGCAGCATTTACGCTGGCCCTATCCCAAAGTCCCCTCACTCAACTTTTCAGAAATATCTGCTTTAAGCCTCATATGATGAAGGTAAGTCAAGATGTGGGGATACAGATACTTCCCTTCAGGATAACACTGTCAGAGTGGGACTTGTTTTTACACAACAAGCCCTGCCAGCTTACAGCCAGATTTGGTTGGGTCAGTCTGCAGCAGTCTGGGTTGTTTCAAACACCACATGGAACCTTCTAGTTTTTCTGCTCCCTTCCAGACAGTCCACTGAGAGCAAACTGAGATTGTCTATCACTATCTGTATTGAAAGTGGAGGACACAGCCTGTCCATCTCTCTCCAGTGAGACTAAGAGAACGTCAGGGCCTGCTAAATATTAGTTGTTGACTGTGCTTATATGACTCAGATCCTAGCCCAAACATCTTCATTCTGACCACAAATATGCCAGCTGTCAGGTAAAGGTAAACTTTTTACTAGACTAGGTCCCACTTTGCATCTAACGATGTATAAATTCTTCCTGTTATTTGAGGCGTGCAGAAAGCAATTGCCCATCTCTTGGTAATGAAGACAACAGCAGTGTCCAGATCCTGCTCCTTCCCTCTGAATCCTCAGTTTAGTAGTCAGATACCAAAGAAGTGATGAAGATGCTAACTTGGATATTGCTGTTCTTGTAAGCCCAGCCATCCCCAGTGTATCCCCAGTTGATGTAATGCTATGTACCTTGGTCTATGCCTCAGTCAAGCTTTTTCATGTACCCATTTGCACCTAATGTGTTTATCTCCAGAACTGTTATTTCTCCAGTAGATGGGAAGCAAACTAGAAATAATGGTTACACAACTCCTCAAATACTTCTTTATACCTGTGTTTCATTTCTAAGGGGTCCTACCTCCCCACCATGCCTGAAGACCTGCTTTTTGATCAGAAGAACTGGAAAATTGGTCAATACGATACCCCTTGGAGTAAGTGTTGGGAAAATTCTACCTCAGTCCATTTCAGCGACTCCTGTATGGATGGCAGACACAGGGAACCTGCTATAAATGTGCCCTGAGACAGAATGTCAAGAGGATGGAGGGAAAGGAGTAACAGGGGGATGGAGGGAATGGTGGCTTTCTTTAGAGCTACCTCTGTGCTTCTGTTGAGTACTTTACAATCTCCTTTTGGCTGCAGCAACTCCAGGTCCATATGGCAAACTTAAGAACCATGTGGTGAGACCAGATCCCAGTAGATGGGAAGAAGGTCTTACTTGAGAAGAGCCTGGGCTGTTGTCCTCCCAGTGAATTTCTGTCTGTGTTTACATCATGGAGGATTTTGTAACTGGGAGATAACTGACTGATTAATCTAATTCCTTTTCATACACAGCTTGTCAGTGTGGATCATGCTGGATCATCACCGATGTAAGTGTCTTTTGACTTTTTGTGATGTTGAGGCTCTTCTGTCTGCTGTTAGGTTTTCTGCCCTATGTCTTATGCTGCTGTCATTTCTTTACCTATAGTGTGGGCGTCCTGGGGAAGTCAGACAATGCCTATGTGGTGCCAAAGTTGGAGGAATTAATCACAAACCTGAGAGAGGTTTTGTGAGGAAGGAAATGTAAGTTGATGCTCCCTGTCCTACAGCCCAAAAGAGATGAACAGGGCTATGGCCACTTGACCCTCTTTCCATTCTCTAGGCACAGGGGAAAAGGTGTAGGTGGGCAAAGCAAAGTCTTTGTGATCCAGGGTCCAATTGCAGTAGGAAATCTTGGAAATACATACTGGGGGGAACAGAAAGGAGAGAAAGCATGAGTGACATGAAGCAGCTGGAAATGATATTTCTTTAGCAGCAGTTCTTCCAAAGTCTCATCTCACCCCAAGTTCACACTTGTTCTGACCCAGCAAAGGTCAAGCCTCTGTCAGTGTTAACTTACCTGTGAGGAGCCCAGCCACTGAGAGTGTAAACTGAATTACATTTCCTTATCACAGCAAAGAGGATAAAACAGTAAAAGGATACATCCTTGGGAGCCCTTCAACACGGAGGATTGAATTGGAGAGGGACCTGTCACCTGCCTCTGTCTGTCTTGCAAGAGTTCTGCTGCATTCATCCATGATGCTGGGGCTCTATACAGATAAACAGGTGAGACAGCCTCTGCTTCTTTTCCCTGCCTTACCTCCCGTCCGTCTCTCCACCATACTTAGCTTGCAGCTTCCATATGATTAATAGCTTCTGCCTTACTCTGAGAGGAAACATTCTTGAGAGCTAAATTAAGAAACAAACTACCCTGTAATCCAGGCAATTCTGAGTCTGATGACAGAGAAACCAAAGGATGTGGCAAAATTCTTCTGGGACCACCTGGAAAAAGATATTGAATGCCTGGCAGAGGCACTTAGCAGGAACACAGAGGATGCAACAGTGACTGTCCATCTATTTCTCCAGCACCTGAACAACAGTACAACAGATAAAGGTACATTCCACACATTGAAAACGTACCAGCAGTCTTACATCAGGTTGTTTTTCATATGGCCACTGGAACTGGGGGCTCTCATCCCATGACTGCAGCTGTTCTGCACAGACTCCAGGGTCTACTGGCTGAGGGTCCTTATTTTGCTTTACATTTTTTACAGGACAAAACATGGTCTTGAATAATTTGCTTAGGCAAGAAGACCGAAGGCAGTGGGAAACCTGCTTTAAAACCCTGACTCGGCCATTCTTCCAGGTACGCAAGGGACCGATCACTGTGTTTCCAGGTATCCCATACACAAACTACCACTTTGCTAGGGATCAAGTGCAGAGCGCACACGGGGTCTGCTGAATATCCAGATACATCCAATGAGCTGCGACATTCCCACATGCAATAAACAGGTTTATCACCTCTTTTTTAAAATGCTTTTTATATGCTGATGCAAATCCCCTTCAGAAAAAAACTGGCTCTATGCCTTGGAGAGCAAAAAATTCCCTGTTGATTTCTTCTTGGGCAATTTTATTCTTGTCCTAGCTTCATTCTTCAACAGGAAGATTTTAATGACACTTCCCTTTCTTCAGAGCCACCAGTGACTTCCCTCATGAGGACACTTGCAAGTCCTCCCAAACTCTTTTGTAACAAAAGGCATCTCCTAACAACCCTTCAAATTCTACAGGCCTTGGAGCAGAGTCTTACTTCTGTCAAGCAGCAGAGGATGAGAGATTCTCAGGGCTCCAACCTGCTCCTACAAATAGCTTATGGCCAGATGACTCCTTTTAAAGACCAGCCAAACCTTGGATTGATTGGCCTGTCCAACATGTGGAAATTTGAACAGAAGATGTCCATCCAGACCCTGATGCATCTCCTTCAGCAAGAACACAGAGAAGGCGAAGGAAACCGCTACCCTGTTCTTCTGGAGCTCGCATCTAAGGTTTGCTGTAGAAACATTCCTCCTTCTTCAAAGCAGAGACAGGCACCATGTGGATTCACCTTGCTGGTGTCATTGGGGCACTAAGCCGGCTCATTTCCCCGTGTTTTCTAGTAGAGTGCCCTTCTCCTGGATACCACACAATACCAGACACAATTCTGGTTCCTCAGATAAGTACATGGATAGCAAAGTCATGCTGAAATTTCCCTTCCAGGTGCAAAACATCCAGCATGTCCAACATCTGCCTGACATTTTCAGTCTGCAGAAAGCTCTGATCCACTTCTTTGAGAACAGCCATAATGGGAAAAGATACTCAGTACAACAATTTCTAGACCAACTTGAACCTTCAGGTATGACATGGACCTATTACCAGTAAACTGGCCTATACTACTTCTCAACAGCCATATGCTCTGCTCTGATGTTATAGCAGGACCTGTGATTCTGTTGCAAGCTGTGAGGGAGCAGCAAACACAAGACTGCTCCATGAGGGAAGACAAGCCAGGAGCTAAGGGTGACCACAGCACAAACCAGGCAGCAACCAGGGTGCAGTATTGGCACAAGGCCAGAGTAGTGATAGAGCCAAGTTCTGTCAACAGCCCAGTGATCATAACACAAATAAAGGTAATAAGTCCAGGAGTCTAGGAATTCCAGTCAATAACTTCTGAGAGCAGGAGACAGGGCTGCTTACAACTCAAGTACTGTCCTGAGCTTACATACATCTCCCTGGGCCCATGAGGAAGGAGTGAGGTGGAGTCCCCAAGTCAGGCTGCTCAGGGCTATTATATTAGTGCCCTCAGGGCCCTGACACAGGCTCACAGTGGTGACTCTCAGTCATCTCTATCTTTATGGACATCTTTGGGGTTTGAGGGAAAGAGAAGAGATGCTGAGACATGGGAATGATCTTTGAAACATTGGAATGGGTCTTGAGCAGATTGCTTCCCATCCTCAGAGTAGGTGTAGCCAGCAGGACCTGAGAAACTTTTAGACATATTTCCTGCTGTTTCACCCATGAATGGGCAACATACATAAGACAGGTTTTTAAGACTGTAAGCAAGTATGTTATTGTGGTGCATGTGAGCTGGGATTTGGCACCACTTAATGCCAGATAAAGTATAATATGGGCTAGAAAAAATTAACTCTGGTTAAACTTGGAGCCACAGCTGTGAATAGCAACCAAGGCCCAGCCTAACAGTTAACTGAGCAGTTGCAGTCTGTAAGGAGTCAAGGAGACAAAAATAATTTTTTTTCAATTCCCTTCTCTTGGGACACTTTCATTGACACTGCTGTTTTTTTCCCCTCTCTGTGCCTGAAGAGGACCAGCGCTCAGCTTTCGGCCGAGCTATAGGGACCATTCAGAAAGTCTGGAGCAATATCAGAATGAAACCACTGTGCTCAGGTATTTTGACTTCCCAGGTATTGTTACTTCCCTTTCCTAAGCCATTGATGAAGGCAGGAACCCATGCTAGCTGCTGAGCTTGCTTTGTTTTGACCCTTTAGGTGAAAATAAATTAAAAATCCTTCCAAAAATATAAAACTATATAAAAAAACCTCAAAAAGGTTTTAAGAAAAGCTAGCCAGAGTTTTGCCCTTAGGAGAATTCTTCCTACCACACAAGGCAGAAAATAAACCCTCCCTTTTGTTACAGATGTCAGAGTCCCCCCAGATGTGTTGCCAGAGGACATCGATGCCAACACTGATGTCCAGAAACTCCTCCCAACTCCACTTTCTATCGGTTACCTTGTGACGAGGCTCCTCATACAGCACCAGAACACTTGTGTGGACACAGCTACTCAGATCACAAAGGAAAAGCAACGGTACATTTCAAATCATCCCTCTGGAGCAAATCAGGACTCATCTAAAGCTGCACGTGTCATTGACTGTGAAGTGAGATGAGGTAAGAAGCAAGGTGCTATCCTTAACAGCAAAGGTTAACTTCTTTTCTCCCAGGTTCATCTCTGCAGAAGAAGTGAAACCATCCTCAGTGCTGAAGATAACTGAGCATGATCTGATCACGGCAATGCTGGCCAACTCCCAGTATATAGTAGAGGAAGATGGCACCGAGACAACCCACTTTGACTTCCAGACACTGCAGCAGCAAGTGATCCAACGTTTTATCAGTGGGAAACCTGTCATCAAAGCTCAGGTGAGCTTATCACCATGCAATTTCAGCATGAGCCAAGTAGCAGTGCTCCAGGCCAGCAGAGGGTGTAGGATTTTATTTCCAGCACCTGGTACTCACCTCTCTAGAGCTAGAACAAACACAAATGCAGGTGCTTGTACATTTGGCAGCCCATCACTCTGCATCTATCACCATTCCTTGGATTTGTGTGGTCAAAAACCACAACTGTGCTCAGCAAACCTTGGTGCTATGAAAGGCAATGTGAGCCTTTCTGTTCAAACCCTGCAAGGGAGGTTGCCCTGGATTTTCTTATAACTGAGCAGGAGTCAGACACTATCTAAAAAGACAAGAGTTGAGTTCTTGGGCATAGTATAAAGCTGGAGTCTAATGTCGGTCTCTGAACCGTAGTGGAGAAACAAGTCTTTTGCTGTGGTATTCATCTTCACTTACTTGCTCACATTAGCCTTTGACTTTCCTCCAGAAGTTCTCAGGGGGGCAGATTTGCAAATGGTTATTCCTGTCTGAAAAGGAAGGCCAGAGGTACATACCTCAAAAATTAAGTCTTGTGGGACAGCAATGAATTTAAGTACCTAAATCCCTTCAATCCCTTTAAAACTGCATAACCCTCAGGTGGTTACATAAACTTCACCTGGGGTTCTCTTATGACCACTGGCACCAGCTATTTCCTATGTCAGAGGAAAGGTGTTTGGATTTGCGAAATGTGAAAATCTGGCCACAAGAGAATGGGAAAAAGGGGTTCAGGGACACTGTAACATGTCTCTCACATAGTGATTCAGGTCCATATGCTTGTCCAGTAGTAGAGTAGGATAAGCAGAGAAACAGTCACAGAGAAACTGACAGAGTTCAGCTGGAGGGATCGCTGGATGTTTGCGGTCCAACCATTTTATCCAAGTAAGGCTAACTTCAAAGCAAGAGCATATAGCTCAGGGTGTTATATAGTTGAATTTTGGAAGTGTCCAAGGATAGAGATTCACCACCTGTCTGCCCCTCTGTTCTGATGTTTTAGCACCATGAAAATGTTTTCTGAATGCTCAAGTAGGAGATCCCTGGTTGCTACTTGTCCTTATTGCTGTCACTGCAATCCTCCTTTCAGTAGTGGAAGACGAATCTGATTATCCCCATAGAGCTCTCTTTTACAGGATGAACAGTCCCTTGCATCCTCAATCATCTTGTTGGTCTCTGCTAGACTCAATTCAATTTGTCAATGTTTCTTGTACTGAGGAACCCCAAATTGGACACAGTACTCAAATGTAATCTCATAAATGCTGAATAGATGGAAATAATCACTTCTCTTGTCCTGCTGGCTACACTCCTGCTAATATAGCCTGGTCTGTACATGAGGTTCCTTTTGGCCCATTTCTTCAGCAACTTGACACCCCTCTGAATGGCAGCCGTGCCCTCCAGTGTATCAGCTTCTTTCCCCAATTTGGTATCATCCACAAACTTGCTGAGATGTCATGTCGGTTGTTGCTGAAGTGTTTTAACGACATCAGCCAGCTTCCTCAGCACCACTGAATGTGTTCCTTCAGATCCCATGGACCTGTGTATATCCAGCTGTAGTTGGTCTGGCTGAGATGGAGTTAATTTTCATCATAGAAGCTGAATTTTAGATCTGTGATCAAAACAGTGCTGATAACACACTAGTGTTTTAGCTATTGCTGAACAGTGTTTGCACAGCATCAAAGGCCTTCTCCATTTCTTACTCTGCTCCCCTCCACTGAATAGATTGAGGATGTGCAAGAGGTTGGGAGGGGACACAGCCAGACAGATTACCCAAACTAACCAAAGAGGTATTCCATGCTGTATAATGTCATGCTCAGCAATAAAACACGTAAGATGGGGTTTTGGAGTGGTTAGCCATCTTTTGCTCAGGAAACAGCTGGGCATCAGTCTACCCATGGGAAGTGGTGAATGATTGCTTTTGCATCATATTTTTTGTTTTCCCACTTTTATTCTTCTCTTCCTCTTTTGCCATCCCACTGGGGGTAAGGAGGGGAGGAAAGTGAGTGAGCAGGTCTGTGTTGCTTAACTGCCACAACAACAACTTACCTCAGTAGTCCCTAATTTGGTCCTCTTTTTTTGTGACATGCCTTTAAATTTTGCCAGTAAGCACAGAGGACTGAAAGCAGACCATCACAGTAAAAAGTGAGGCAAAGAATGCATCAAGTATCTCACCGAATACCTTTTCCATGTCCTTTGTCAGTAGGTTCCCTTCCCTGTTGAGCAGTGGGCCCAGTTCTTATCTGATGTTTCTTTTGCCAGGGATGTACTGATGTAGAAGCCCTTCTTGTTGGCCTTCATAGCCTTCAGCAGTCTCAAATCCAAATGAGCTTTGGCTTTCCTAACTCTATACTTGCATACCCAAGGAATGGCTCTATATTCCATTGGGTAGCCCCTCGCTGCTGCCACCTCACCGACACCTCACACCACAGCCCCTGCAGCCAGACATGGATAGCTGTGTCCTTGCCCTTTGGCTTGTGCCAAGTGATACTTTGTCTCTTCATAGCCACTCATTTGCTTTCCAGACGGCTCCCTGCTTTGCACTGAACAGAATGAAGACGCTGCAGTACACAAAAACAAAAGTGAGAGAACAGGTGCAACAGGTAGGAAAAGAGTTTGCCATCCTTTTTTTCATTCAGGTTTCCTCTGCCTTGTAATGCTTATTAATAAGCTACCCCAGGGAAAAGAGAGCTCAGCAGAGAATATGGCATCTGCAGGAGGTGTGAAAAGGTCCAAGTTCAAATCAGGCAGATGGATGGAGCCTCACAAGGAGACAATTTTCTTTGCTGGCTCTAAAGGAAATCGAGGCAACTCTGTCACATGGACTCATCTGTGCGAGTGTCTAAACCAAGGGGATATGGTGACCACAGCATGACATGTGCTGGCATCATGGATCAGCACAAGTAGCAACTACATGGTTACTGTTCCTGCTTGCAACTAGGTTGGAGAACCCATGGCCTTGTAGAGTCTATGGCTCTCCCATGTAAACCCTGAACGTCACCCACATATCTCTAACTCCCTCTGCTAAGAGGGTAGAACTGGTGCCAAAAGTTAGACAGCCGCTCCGCTGTACAGACACAGTGGCAGGACCCAGAACTCATATGTCAGAATCACAGTCTGGCTATATTCTCCTTTTGATAGGAATCATTAAGTGTGAACCAGCTGAAACGGATCATGGAAGAATCCCGATCAGTGAATGCTATTTCTCAAACACTTGCCACCTTGAAAGTGGCTGCCGAGTTCCTGGCTGTGACCGGTGGGGACCCAGAGCGCCAGTTGTCTGAGTATGTAAAAAATGAGCTGAAGATGGATGCAAGCGTAGAACAGTTCAGAGACATGCCGGTAAGCAAGGCACTTTAGTTGTACTGAATGGGGAAACTGGCTGAACATTTCCATTCCTCATACCCTCCCCTAAACATTAAAACATCACCTTTTAAGTCACACACTTTTTTGTGAGCTAACCTAGAACATGGACAACTCAGCCATGGCCTTTCTGAAGAGCAGGAACTGGCTGGCTGATTGCCCATCTATTTTCTCCTCCTCCAGGTGGTACCACACACTCAGCTGAAGCATATCCTGTCTCTGTGGCAGACATTGTCAGCAAAGAGATCTGTGCTGCTGATGCAGATGAATCAGGTGAAGGAGACAGCCTGTATTACAAAACTGTCTACAAGACCTAGGAAAAGAGAGAAACTTTTTGACAAAATTGATTTTCTGTGAAAAATATTGAAATTTTTTTAGGGAAAAAAAAATAGGAAAATTTTGTGATTTTAGTATCATTATTCAGCAAAAGCCAAGCAATATTCATCTACTTAAGTCACGTAAGACCCTTGGAAAAGGGCCATCCACAGGATTTTGTGCTAGAAACAGTAATGCTTTCTGAGATGGGTCATAGCAGCAGCTGGTACTGTGGTCTCTGGTGGCGCTGGCATAATAGTCAGGAACAAAGAGGGTCCCAGTTTTACTTCTTCCATCAGATGTAGGGCCTGGATGGTCTGTGCAGGGAGTCCCAGGCTGTCCTCTTGCTGATGTTGTTTGTCATTGCAGAATCCCTTCTGCCTGGTTTCTGAGCAGTACCACGAGGAGCTGAGTGCAGAGAAAGAGAAGGCTCTGACTACTGCACTCACCACAGTTAACCTGGATTTGTTCCTCATTGAGCTCCATGAGATGATCACTGTGCCACTGGGTTCCTTTGATCCACAGTGGGGGTAAGAGCAGATTTTTCCTTATTTGTTCCAGTGGTAGATACCAACTCTTTAGACCCAGATGGAAGGGATTTTGAAGTCCCTTTTAAGGTGGGCTTTTGAAGCTTTCTGGAGAGAAGGGCCATGCCTTCCAAAAGCGGGAGTTACTGTGGCTGTGAGTATTGAGTCTTTTTGTGATGCCCAGGTAAAGAGAAATGGGAGTAAAATACAGCAGGAACCCAGCACCTTCAATTCATCTGGCATGTTATAAGGAAGCAAGAAACCACTAAAAATCATACCGTCATGGAGACTTAGGTTGGGAGTGCCCTCTGGAGGTCCTTTGGTTCAAGCAGGTCTGACTTCAAAGCTCTATCAGACTTTCAAGGTCTTGTCCAGTTGTGTTCTGACTATCTCCAACGACAGTGCCACCACCACTCTGCATTGTCCCAGGGCTGCACTAACCATGTGGAGAATATTTTCATTATGTTTAGTCAGGATTTCCACTGTTGCATCTTCCGCTTGTTAATTCTTGTCTTTTTGCTGGGCACTCCAAGAAGAGTCTGTCTTCATCTTCTTGACACCCAACCACTATGTAGTTAGAGATGCATTTGGAGTTCCCCTCTGCCTTCTCTGCCAAAGGCTGAATAACCTAGTTCTCTACCTTCTCTTCATATGTCCTGAGCTCCAGATCTCTAATCATACTGGATGCGCTCCACTGAACTCCCTCTAAAATGTCAATGTTTTCCTTATACTGGGAGCACAAAATCAGACACAATCCTCCAAGTGTGATTTCACAAGCACCAACAGAGGAGAAAAATCACTTTCCTTAACCATCTGTCTACATTCTTGTTAATACAGTTCAGTATGTGTCTGGCCTTGGGGTAATACAAAAAAGATCATGTAAGGGAACAAAAAAGGTGCCCCTGCACAGCACCAGTGAGAAATCCCAATGAGAGGATAAGAGCTACACCACCTCCCTTTCCCTGCTTCTTGCATGAGAAAGGTCTCCTAATGCCACAGTGCCAGCATGACAGACCCCATGAAGGAAGGAGCTGGGGGTGTATTGAGTTGAGTACAGATAGGTTCAGGATGCTGTGTTATACCTGATATAGAAGAGGCGGTCAGTGAAGCTGAGAGAAATCAGCTCTGAGGAGGCCACAACATCTATTTGTGTGCTGTTGACAGTGTTGACCAACAGTTGCCCACATTGTTGTCTGATAACACCAGAGATACCCCAGAGAATACTGCCTGGCTTCCAGCTTCAAGACCATCCCAGGGGTACTGTCACTGACTGCCAGAATTGCCTGCTGAAGGTCAGGGCATTTGGAAACCCAGGCGTCCTCCAGACACTTAAAATTATGACCTGTTTCACCCACAGGCTACAGGAAACTTTCATATCCTTCCTGGAAGACAGGCAAGATGATGCCTCCATTGCAAATCTGACAAGCACTTTGAGTCCAGACCTACTACTGAAGGATGTTGTTTCCGTCTGGAAGACAGCTGTGAGGACCAGCATATTTCACAGTCCTACTTACATCTAGGAGAGACCAGCCTATCTCTTGCTAAATCCCCCAGGAATTAACTCCCCTGCAGCTTCTCAAACCAGTTGTCAGTGCTCTGAGTGCCTTAATTGTCCTGACCAAACTCACCCAGGATTTCCACCCAGGTACCCACTGCCCAGTGGTCCAGGAGTTCCACTTAAGCTCAGCCCTGGGCCTTCTATCCTTGCCTGAGCTATGTTGTAGGTGCATTGGTGTCCAGCCCTGTGCCATTATTGGCTCACTAGTCTTCCTGCATGAATATTGGACCCATCTCATCACCTCACCTTTTTTTATGATCACTGAGCAGTCAATAGAATCTGGCTCTGCCCAGATTCTGTGGGACTGTGCCTGGTCAGTGGGGACACTGTCCTGCCTCTGCTGGGGCCACCCTCTGCTCCCAGCTGATTTTCCTGTGTGGAACAACCCTATGCCTGCTGCTCCCTGGCGAAAATTTCCCCAACAACCATGCAGTTTGTTGCCAATTTATTGCATCTAACTTTTGAAGCAGGTTACCAAAAAACAATCAGTTGGAAAGGGGGAGGGAAAGGGAACCTCATTTTAATGCTTAGTATTGTATTTGTGCTTTTTCCTAATAGCTGTGATAGCATACTCAAGGCAGCAAAGCAATATAAGCAAAAATACACTTAGAAATAAAAGCAAAAGCAAAAAACTTACAGTGGCTGCAGCACTGCATCACGGATCATCAATGATACTTCCACAATATCCACTTCACAGCTGCAGTGAAGACCCATATTATACTCATATCTGGAGACTCTGCACCTTGAGAGAGATTGTAAGTCACCACTTCATCTTGCCCAGATCAGTTTTGGTCATCCTGACATGCTATGCTTTCTTATTGGTCCCAACATTGTTTTCTTTGGTATCCCTAAAACCAATCCCAGTTCCCAAGACTGAATTCCTCTGGTGACAAATGATTGACAATTAGTGAGCAGTTTGTAGCCCTGGACTTTGAATATTATCTTGTGCCTGTATTTTCAAGGCCTTCAGTCTCATCCCATGCCTGTACTTCTCTTTACATTTTTATTCTACAGTCACTGTTGTGGTTTAAGCCCAGAGTGCAACTGAGCACCACACAGCCACTCACTCCTTCTCTCTCAGAGATTGCAGAATCACAGAATCGTCTAGGTTGGAAAGGAGGACCTTGAAGATCATTCAGTCCAAACATGAACCTCACACTGACAGTTCCCAACTACACCAGATCTCTCAGCCCTATGTCAACCCAACTCTTAAACACCTCCAGGGATGGGGACTCCACCACCTCCCTGGGCAGCCCATTCCAACACCTGACAACTAGTTCTGGAAAGAAGTGCTTCCTAATATCTAGTCTAAACCTTCCCTGGCACAATTTGAGGCCATTACCTCTTGTCCTATCGCTTGTTACGCGGTTAAAGAGACTCATCCCCAGCTCTCTGCACCCTCCTTTCAGGGAGCTGTAGAGGGTGATGAGGTCTCCCCTCAGCCTCCTCTTCTCCAGACTAAACACCCCCAGTTCCCTCAGCTGCTCCCCGTACGACCTGTGCTCCAGACCCTGCACCAGCTCCGTTGCCCTTCTCTGGACACGCTCGAGTCATTCAATGTCCTTTTTGTAGTGAGGGGCCCAAAACTGAACACAGGAATCGAGGGGCGGCCTCACCAGTGCCGAGGACAGGGGTCAGATCCCTTCCCTGTCCCTGCTGGCCACGCTAGTGCTGACACAAGCCAGGATGCCATTGGCCTTCTTGGCCCCCTGGGCACACTGCTGGCTCCTGTTCAGCCGGCTGTCAATCAGCACCCCCAGGTCCCTCTCTGACTGGCAGCTCTCCAGCCACTCCTCCCCAAGCCTGTAGCGCTGCTGGGGGTTGTTGTGGCCCAAGGGCAGCCCCCGGCATTTGTCCTTATTGAAACTCCTCCAGTTGGCCTCAGCCCATGGCTCCAGCCTGTCCAGGTCTCTCTGCAGAGCCTCCCTACCCTCGAGCACATCAACACTCCCACCCAACTGGGTGTCATCTGCAAACTGACTGAGGGTGCACTCGATCCCCTCGTCTAGATCATCAATAAAGATGTTAAACAGGAGTGGCCCCAACACCGAGCCCTGGGGGACACCACTCGTGAGTGCCTGCCAACCAGATTTAACTCCATTATCCACCACTCTTTGGGCCCGGCTGTCCAGCCAGTTTTTTACCCAGCAAAGCATGTGCCTGTCCAAGCCATGAGCAGCCAGTTTCTCCAGGAGAATGCTGTGGGAAACAGTGTCAAAGGCATT